GCTTCGGACGGTGTTATACAACAATAGAACGCCGAGTACTATTCGGTATTATACGTTAATGTTGGTGCGGCTGTTCACCCATATTTTAGCTGGCCTCCCAGGATATATGCTACGACACGTTTTTGAGAACTGTTCTACCGCAGAGTTTCGAATACTTTTAAATTATGCTTTCCGCCATCTAGATTTAATTCTAAGCGTAGGTTGCGAGCAAATGACACTGCAACAAGTTACTGTCCTCTCAGACCAAAGCATCGCCTCTAGTATTGTTGCTTGGTGCTCTCATGGACCTTAATCCTGAGCGAGGATTCCTGACCCCGCGAAGATGGCCTCTGTATTTGATCGCGAAAGCACAAATAACAACCGAGATATTACTCTGATCGGTCAGGACGTATTAGCCTAATACTTCCTAATAGTATTAGGTGCCACCGTGGGAGCCACGTCCCACCTCGATCGATCAAATCTGGGCAATTAATCCCATGTGTCTGGGTGCAACGATCCGCTCGACAGAGGATCGGACTGCGGGGGCATCTTGTTGAAGTCGAATCAACGATTGCAAGAGCGATATCAGTAGGAATTTGGAACGAGTTCGTTGCGATCTCTTCTTCGGAAAACGAACCCTGGGGCCGTTCAACACCAAACTCTTATCAACGCGATGTTTCGTGTCAACTCGATGCATATGGAAGGTGGAGGCACCATGTGGCCAACTGATTGCTTCGAGAGAGTAGCTGACAAGAGAAGCACTGCAACGGAGCACTCTATCTCACGCTGTCAATGTCCGCCCTGTTGTTGTCCGGGTCTGACCGAGGCCTTACTTCTACTGACCCTGCTGTTTCGTTCGCTCGTCCAACGTGAGTCACGAGTGGGGCGTCCAGTGTAGCGCTCAACCATTTCCGCTTTTGCCTCACCAACGAGACCGTCGATACATTTTGGAAAATACCTACGTGAACAGGTCGTACTATACAACAGGAAGGTGAATATGGGCAGCAGACGAATGAAATCGTCGCTGCGGTGCGTCCTGGTTGCACTGCTAGTGATCACTCAAGTGGTTAGCGCTCGCAGCTGGAACAGTACGACGACAGCGCCAACAGCAACGACAGAAACCCCAACCGTGACAACGGCAGCTCCATCCGCATCGACTGCATCAGCAAGTGCTGAAGCTACCGAGACCCCGACAGGTACTGTCGCGGCTGCAACTACTACATCTCCCGCGGACACGGCGTACATTTGCAGTGGCGATGAAGTAGCCCGGCTCACAAAACTCAACGAGAACAACCCGTACTTAATGTCGGAATGTACCAAATCGGCCGGCATCAGTTCGTATACGTTCCCTTTCAACGGGGAGCTCAGCTACGCTCAAATGGTGGCCATGAGCTCCGTCAGCCAGTGCGGATACTACTTCCGAGCGGTGTTGCTGGTTCAGCTCCAGGAATGCGTCGATGCCAACGTCTACATTCGAACGATCGCAGAGACCATCCTCCAGCTTGCCAACACTTCGGGTGACGCACCAACGGAGGCTGAGGTCAATGCAGCGATCGCAGTTCGCAAGGCTTACAACCTGGCTCTTCGAGACGGAGGCGGATCGGCATCGTACTCGGCCACGAGCGGGGCATCGGTTTTAACCTGGAGCATCGAGGGTGACACTATCGACACGACAGCCACGGCCAGCGTCACGGGTCAACTATTATTGAGTACGGACTTGCAGGTCATTGGCACGTACTACGCGTCTCCCGATTCCTCTTCGTCCGCTTCGACCACCTCCTCGATCGAGGATAGAAGGACACCGGGACAGAGCACTGACAGTTCTGCTAGGAAGGAAACTTTCTCGTGGCTCGTAGCGTTTGTAGTCACGTGCACAGCTTTGTTGTTGCAGTCTAGCTAGAATCAACTCAATCCACAATTATCTATCAACACTCGACACCTCAAGCACACATCCAATTCTGTTCCTACACATGTCCGACATCGATTCCGAGCCCTCAAGCTGCTTGCAAATCAACCTGATGCAAGCGTTTATCAGCACAAAATTCAAGACATCAATAATAGATGGCGAAAAAGTCGAAATCTTACGAAAGCACAGAAAAATAAATATGCTAAGAAACTAATTTGAAAAAGTGAAAACCAAACTCTTTATTTTTCAGATCATCCAAGGTGGCGAGACATCCTGCTAACTATGGTCTCGGCAGCTTGGCCATGCCTGCACTTTGTGCTCGGGACATGTTAAGTGAGCGAAGACGCTGAGTTTTACCTCAGCCGTCTTGGCGCACAAATTCATCCATAAAAAAGGAAAGAGCGAGCTTTTTGGTCTTCTCATGAAGAAAGAAATCCACTGCTTACAGAGAAGCACGGACCTCACGGGTGGCGTCCACCATGTTGCGCAGAGCAGCAATAGTCTCGGGCCATTTACGGGTCTTGAGACCGCAGTCAGGGTTCACAACAACCTGCTCGGCCGGCAAGAGGTTCAGGAAGCTCTTGAGCTTCTTGACGATCTCCTCCTTGGGCGGCACCACAGGCGAGTGGATGTCGTACGTGCCCGGGCCCAGGTCACGCTTGTAGCCGATGGCCTTGAACGAACGGATGGTCTCATCGTCCGAGCGAGCGTTCTCGATCGAGTTGACATCGGCGTCAATGGCGTCAATAGCGTGCATACAGTCCGAGAACTCGCAGTAGCACATGTGCGTGTGGATCGAAGTCTCGTTCTTGGCCACAGCAGTCGACAAACGGAAGGCGTCCACGGCCCAGTTCAGGTACTCGTCCTTCTTGGCCGGCTTGAGCGGCATACCCTCACGAAGGGCGGGCTCATCGACCTGGATGACAGCGCACTTGGCGGTCTCAAGGTCAGCGACCTCGTCACGCAGGCACAGGGCGAGCTGGAAGGCCTGATCCTTGCGGCTGATGTCCTTACGGGGGAACGACCAGTTCAGGATGGTCACGGGGCCCGTTAGCATACCCTTGACCGGCTTGGAGGTGAAGGACTGGGCCACGACGAACTCACGCACAGTCATGTCGGCCGGACGCTCCAGGTCGGCGAAGATGATCGGCGGACGCACGCAACGCGAGCCGTAGCTCTGCACCCAGCCGTTCTGCGTGAAGGCGAAACCGTTGAGCTTCTCGGCGAAGTACTCGACCATGTCGGTACGCTCAGGCTCACCGTGGACCAGGATGTCCAGGCCTAGAGCCTCCTGAATGCCGATGTTGTAGGCGATCTGCTCGTCGATCTTGGCACGGTAGTGCTCCAGCGAGATGTCGCCGGCCTTGAGCTTGCGACGCAGAGCGCGGATCTGAGCGGTCTGCGGGAACGAGCCGATAGTGGTGGTAGGCAGCACCGGCAGACCCTTGAGCTGCGAAGGGCGGCGTTCAGCGAACGGCGAAGGGCGCTTGAAGTCGGCCTCCGTCACGGCGGACAGACGCGACTGCACAGCGGCCTTGGCCGGGTTCTTCTCGTAGTAGACGACCCAGTTCTTCTTGGCGGCGTCGATCTCGGCCTTGGCGGCCTCCTCACCGATCTCGGCAACCTTCTTGACAACTTCAAGCTCAGCAAGCTTCTCGTAGGCGAAGCTGAGAACGCCCAGAAGGCCGTCGGTCTCGCCGGCGTTCAGGGCCGACTCGCACTCCGTCGTGTACGGCACGTGCTGCAGCGACGAGCTGGTCTGGATGGTGAGCTGAGAGTTCTCTGAGGCGGCCAGCACCTTCTTGATCTCGGCCACCTGCGACAGGATCGTGTCCGGGTTGAACTTCCACACGCTACGGCCGTCGATCAAACCGGCACCGAGACGCTTGCCAGCCGGGAAGCCGAACTTCTGCAGCACCGACAGGTTGTCACCGCGGGTGAAGTCAAGCGAGATGGCCGACACGGGCGACGTGGCGAACCACTGGTACACGTCGTGATTGATCTCCTCAAAGTACGTGGCCAGGTTGATGGCGACGTTCTCGTGCTGAATGGAACCCTTCTGGTCCTTGGAGCCGTAGACGGTGGCCAGGTGCTTAGCCAACTGGTCGGCCTGAGCGCCAACGAGCGAGGGCTCGTGCACCTGCACCTCCTGCACACCGAGGGTGGCCAGCTCGCTCAGAAGAGTAGTGTAGAGCGGCAGGATCTTGACCAGCAGCTCGTCGAGCGTGGCACCATCGTACTTGCTCAGGGCCAAGTACGTGAGGGGGCCGAGAATGATCGGGACCGTCTTGTTGGGGCCCACGACGGCCAGAGCGCGCTTGACGCTTGCCACGTACGAGCTGAAGTTGGCCTTGGGAGTGGACTTGGCGTTGAGCTCAGGCACCTCGTAGTGATAGTTGGAGTCGAACCACTTGGTCATGTCAAGGGCCGGGATGCCGTCGACGCCACGGGCCATGGCGAAGTACTGCGAGAGGCCGGCAGGCACCGAGGCAAAGCGCTCCGGGGCCAGACCCAGGTAGTAGGTCCAGTCCAGCACGTGGTCGTAGAGCGAGAAGAGGCCGACACCCACGCGGTTGACGCCGGCGTCGACCTGCTTCTTCCAGTTGGCCTCCTCCACGGCGTGGGCCACCTTGTACAGCTCCTCCTCGCTGATCTTGTTGCGCCAGAACTTCTCAAGGGCGAACTTGAGCTCACGGTTGGGGCCCATGCGGGGGAAACCCAGCGTTGCACTGTCAACGGCGACCATCTTGATATATGTGTAGAGCGAGTTTTACGAACTGGGACGGACTTGTGTTTGGAAGTGCGCGCCAGAAAGCAAATGCAGGAATGAAGAGGGCGATGAGATGCTCTTGGTGTTCTTGTCGCTTGGTGCAGGTGTTGCAGGAAGCGGCCGGATGGATGGCTACGGAAAGAGCTTGCGGTGGCAAATGGATCGTGGCAACCGGGCGGGATGACCTCGACGCAGGGCATAGAGCTACAATAGCCGCCCAGCCTGCGGGACCTGCTTGTTGCGCATGCGGAGACTGTCAAGTATCGGAACGTGGAGCACATGCCTTGATGATCTCTGATTCGCTGATTCTAATTTTGACCAATCGTAGTAAATATCACTTCAACTGCGAATGGAAATCAAATCCTAAAGCGACACAGCAACTTCAGCAACAACTGCAACATTCATTGAGTTTCGCCAATACGGCGATCTCCTCGAGGTTCTGTCTGTATGTGAGAGGCGATCGGAAGGATCTCTATCTAGTATAGTCGTCGGTATCACGGTACTCGCGTTTTTTTTTCTCTTTGCTGGCTGCGTCTAAAGCTACGACTCCTTGCTGGCAGGATCTCCATTCACGCGATCGAGGTGGACGAGGTCCAGGATCTGCCTAACGTTGCTGGTGGACGACAGCCACTCCTTGAACTTGAGCTGGATTACCACTTCCATCGTGCGCTTCTTCGTGAGGTCGAACTCGTCGCTGGTCACTAGTTGCCGCAGCGACTCCACCGTCTCGTACTGCTTCCTCACTGCAGCGACGTACTCGGGCGGGATCGGGAATGGCCGCTCAGCAGGGCCAGCTCCTGCTGCCGGCTTCACTGGAACACACACATCGCGGAAAGTCTCGGGCACCTGAAGAGAAACTGGAGGCTTTTCTGTGTCGTTCATACTGTCTGTATAGTAGAGAAAATAACGCGTATGTGAGCGACATCCACGATGTAAAAGATTACCAATTCCGGCAATCATACCTTTATCGCTGTCCAGGTCTAAAAACTTGTTCCAGCTGCCTTGTGACTCGGCATTCCACAGGAACGGTACTGTGGACAACTGCTGCTTCAAACCAACATACTTGGTATTGTAGGGTCCCAGAATCACGCCGACGTTTTCGCCGCTCACAATAATCGGAGACAATGTGTATACGTTGAGACGAGTGTCCAGGCAGTTGCTGCAAAACATGTACAGGTCGTTAGCATGTCGGCCTGCTGTACGCAGTCTAGAAAATTATTTCGTACCTGACGCGGATGAGACCAGAAAGTGACGTGAGCTGTACATTTTCACAGCGTTCCATCGACAAAATTCCCGTGTTCGGTGCTGTGATGATACGGCAGTTCTTGCACGCTGAAATCGTCACATTCGTGTTAGCCAGAACAAATCAGGTTAAGGATAACCTCGGCGGAGCTCAATAGTGTCAAATATGCAGCACAACAAGTACAAGAGAGTTGAAAGGATATCGAACAGGTCCCAGGAGGTAGATGTACGAGTCTTGGCACGAGAAGATGAGGACGTCCGGGCGTTGGCCGCTGTCTTCAGACACCGCGAACTCGTCTGCGCGCTTGATCACCGTCGTCTTCATCAGCTGTGATAGAATGGTAGGCCGGCCTGTCGTTTCTTCTTGAACACTAGACATATCTGCACTTCCATCCAACGAAAAGTCATCTACAGGAGAGATGGCAATAAAAAACACTCGCTTGTCAGCACTGGATCAAACATGCTTAGGACAGAGCAACGAACCGTTCAGGGAAAAGGCAGGTGGTGAAATAGTTGAGAGGTTGTTTTGAGCTGTCGTGGGAGGAGCCACAGAGAACCCCACAGGTGGATACATTTTCTCGTTCAGTGACAAGTGGGTCTTGTAAAATCGGCAAACTTTAGCTCCATTCTCCACGTGAGGCGTAAAATCTTGCGCAGCGTCAGTCTCCGCCATAGCATCAGTATTGTCGGCCTGTTCCCACGTCGGATAGCAAGAACTCAGCTTCAGGTTCTTGTCTACGAGGCTCACATCTCCCAAGCACAGCAAGAAACCCAACAAATCGATCTGATCAGCGCTCACGACCGTCGGAGATTCGTCCTTTAGATCCACCGACGGGTACAGTAATCCAAACAAATCTTCCAGCTTCTCACGAACAAATGACAAGTAATACGAATCGGCAGTCGAGCGGTCTGCCATGCCCACTGTGTGTGGAGATTGTGGAGGCGGCGGACTAGCGCTGCCTCTCATCAGTGGGGATCCAAGAGCGCCCATAATCGGCGATTTGGGCGCTGTAGCAGCAGCCACAGCCCCCGCAGTCTCCAGTGCTGCAGCTGCAGCCAAACTCTCGGCATGTTCGCGATACCACACTGCATTGTACGAGTCCAGCGAGTATTTCGACCTCCACGAGTGCGGCTTGACCGTCTGAATGAACAGGAAAATAGCCATCTTAAATACAGGCACCTCCTCTCGAGAGAGCGACTGCTCTCCTTCCAACGGGGCTGTACAGTCCAGGTTTTCGTTCTTGACGGGGATCATGCGATGGAACTGCACGAGCAACAACCAGAAGGCCTTGTAGTCCTGTTCTCTCCACTGGAAAATGCTCTCCACCGCGTCTTTCCAGACCGCAAACGTGACGGAACTCAAATTGTCGCTCTCCGTGTAAGATCCCTCCGTGTCCAGCATGACGGCGTCGTCTCCAGCTGCTGCGTCTGCGGCCTCTCCATTAGCTGCCTGGATCTTGTTATGAAGCGCATCTAGCGCCTTCTTAACGTTGCCTAGTGTGAGTGAGGCTGCGTATTTCGACGGCAACGGCACGAGGCCGAGCTCGAACAGCTCGAGACGGAGCCAGATGCGCGGCATATCGTCGCGTCGCTTCCTCTTCTTGGCTGGTGGCGCGGGGATAAACTCAGGGACGTCTCGCCCGCCAGTGGCTTTCCTCGTCTCCGCTGGCGTCTGTGTGACGGCGTTAGCATCAGAACTTCTCACGGCCATCAACTTCTACACTCTCTCCGCACCTTCGTGGTAAGCGCACCCCTTGTTCCCGACGCACACGAAGTCGCAGGCAGGGGGGTTCTCCGGTCTCTTGGCTGGCTACTGCGGCGTTCGAGGGCCCCGCGACTCGGACAACGAAGACGATCGATGTGTATGGGCGCTTGAGGCTGAAGCACCACAGGCAATACAAAGAACGAGATAAAGGGGGATTGTTCGGCTGAAGACGAAAGGCTATTTTTAGATCAGCAAGTGACCAATAGGAGAAGAGGAATGGTGACATGATCACTGGATTGGTGAAAAAGATTGGTCAATTTATTATCAGGCGATTGACGTTAAAACGACTTTACGAAAAAACCAAGATGTCAAAATGGCTGCACTACTGACTGTAGACGGATCTGTCCGACGACTGCATGCATCGGCGGTTGCGCTGCAAGACTGAGTGCGCAATGAGCGATTGCTCTTGTGTGAGGTGGTATGTTGCCTCTGCCTGGTTCGACACCTGCACCAACCGCGCGAAAAGCGACGTCCGGTACTGCTCCGCGTCGCTGTCGTCTTGGTAGAGCGAGGATGACACGGTCGACGTCGTTGATCGGGAGCTGCGACGCGACGTGTCCATCAAGTCCTTCTCGAGCGGCACAAGCTGCTTGCTCTTCTTTCCAATCGAGTTGAGCACGTCTCGACCTTCGCCCAGCAGCGCGTCATCGTCTTCGTCCTCGGAAAGCGACACCTTCTCCATAGACGACAGGTTGGACGAGACGCGGATGTCGCTGCGACTGCTGAGGTCCTGCAACTGCGCAGTGATCTTGAGTGTGAAGGCGGTCAAGGATCGATCGCTGCCTGGGATATCCACGTCTTCAGGCTCCTCCTCGACTTGGCAGAACGCGGCGTTCATGGCTGCTGTACGTTGTCCAGTCATGCTGAAGCCACTAGCTTCCGCGCGCAATTCGTCGATGGAAGTCGAGTCCATCTTGGAGATACAAACACGACAGAATTCCGCTCGCATTAGATGCGAGGTCGACGCCGTGTCACGTGCAAGGACATTCTCCTTCAGTCGACACTTTCTGCAGACGTATTTGAAGTTGCAACCTGCACATTCCTGCAGACTCTCAAAGATCGATGTGCTGCCTCGACACACGTCGCAGCATCGGCGAGACAGTCGTCGTCCCCAGCGTCCAGGAGGTGCAATAGCCATCATCTCTGCGAGTTTCTTGGCTCGAGTGCATTCCATTGCGTTCGTGACTGCCAGCAACAGATCCGATACTGCTGGCGTGGAGAAATACGACAACGCCGCGTGGTCCATCTCACCTTGCATGTAGACGCCCACCAGATCGTCCTCCAGCTCCTCAAACACGTAGCAGAGCGACGTCTGCACTCGCTTATGCGTCGACTTGTGCGGGTATTCGGGCAGATCCACCGACTGCATGACGTGGTAGGCCATCCGCTTCCCTGAAGTCTGGCGCACCAGCCCCATCTTGTCAAAGTAGCACAAGTCTCGGTTGCTTGCCACCGATAGTTTGATCGTCGTGCATTTGATGCCCGTGAAGGCGTATGGCTCACACACTGTTTGTCGCTGGACAGCGTAGAGCACTGCGCTCTCTGATAATCTCGGGCATTTGATGGCGTTCATCAGCAGCATTTCCTCTGTGTTCTGGCAGTAGATCCCCTCCATGATGTCGTCGAAGCTGCCGCGCAGAGCTCCAACGCAGCGCAGAGGTATTTGGTCTGACGTAGTAGGGTGGCGGCCACGGAAAAGGCGGACCCCGTGCCGTGACCGAAGACATTTCCATTGTGTCGGGTCGAGGTTATGCTCCACCGTGCCGTTCGCGGCGATGGTTTCACTCAAGGCCTTCTCGGCTCGGTCGTGGTACCGATCGAGTTGGGCAAGCCCAAGAGTGATTGTCGGGTGTTCCGCCCGACGACTGCGGAGCGACATGGAGAGCGCGGGCACTGGGAGACGACGCATGGACCGCTGCGAAGCTCGAGAGCGACTTGTGCTCGATCTTGGTTGGTACGCCATCTCGAAGGCAAATTCGATAATGATAAGGCCGGCAATTTCGTTTGTGGTGAGTGCCACTGGGTGATTGGACTATTATGCGTTGGATATGGCGACATCCGGAGTCATCGCGAGTTGCCCCACACTGACTGGGTGGCCTAAAAAGGTGAGTCGAGATTAGCCGTAGAATCTGCTAGATGACCATCGCTGTAGAGTCGATTTCAGCTTGAACGTTCTAGCTTGAGTGGCAACTTATTAAGAGCTTGCAAGGCGTTGGCGATGCTGTTTGTCGTCGTTGCCAATGGTAATGCCATCGCCATCTAGGTGAAATTTATCTTATTCGCTTCAATGTGGGCTGTAAATCGGACGGAAAGTCAGATGAAGTCGGCAACATGCATTTGTATCGCTTTTATTATGGATAGCGCTAAACAGTAACGCGTGGTGAGGCCTCGAGCGAGTGCAACGTGGCACCGGAGTTAGGGGCTGCGCTTCCGTGGTCAGTGTCACGTCTTCGCAGTCTGCGTGCATGGGCTAGAAAACTGTCAACTGATAGTTCTGAGCACTTTGACGGATTCTCATTTGTCCACAGTAACAAGCGTATAGATTCCTTTGCAAACCAGCATTCTACCCTCATGTACTAGCAAACAAAGTAGTCATTTGGGTTGCCCTTTGGCCAATCCAACATCGAAGTTTCGAAGCTCGTGTAGCCATTGCTCGGTCCAAGACCCCCGGCAACCACTGCGTTGAACACCTTTCAAACAGAAACAACCTCTCTCTTGAGCACTTCTCTCTTCTTGTCAACATGGACACGCAGCTTCCCGTGTTCTCGGGCACATTGAAAGTCCACGCATGCCACTTCTTCTGGTGCGTAAAGTAACTATCGTTATCAGTCCACGACGCCCTCTAACATTGTTGCTTGCAGGACAAAGACACCCGTCCAGTTGACATACCATCGCCAGGATTATCGCCATGCCCTGCCCGTGCTGCTGATCCGACGACCAGGCATTCTCGGCGGTGAGTTTCGCGTTCCTCTCGATCCATGCATCCACCCCGTGCGCCTATTGCCAACGACCAAGCGAACGGCATCTAAACTGGAATTCGCGCTCGAGTACGGATGGCACACCAAGCAGGTTCGTCTACGAGCACCTGACGCCCACATGTATCGACAATGGACAAGTCTCGTGAGGGCAGCACTTGAGTCGGGACGCAGGCCTCTTGTCAGCTGTGACTACACGACCACAGCTGAGCAACCAAAGCCAGACTTTGAGTGCTCCAGCCTGGCGTCAACGATGAACAGTAGCAGCAACGGCACTTCAAGATTCAACGCCACTATCCGACAGAGAGTAATCGAGGACGAACAAGATGTCCATCTGCACCTTGATAATGACTTTGAACGCCGCTGGCATACGCCCAGCGAGTTCTTTGTACTGCATCAAGCCGATTACCAGCCAGACACTACAAGCTCCAGTGATCAAGACCTCGACGTGCATCAACGTAGCTGGTCCCTCTCTCTTTGTAGCATTGCAGCCGTTGGAAGCTGCAGCAGTGATGATTTTCGACAAGATGGCCAGCCTGCGAAAGTCAAGAGGCGCTTCTGGCATTCACTGCGAGCGTATATCAACATCCGCATCGATTGGCCGGCAATCACCCATGAACTTTACCTCCAAGCCAGCGTCTTCTACTTCAACGTCATGTAGCCATATCGTTTTGACCGGGGATACATCACATTACACAAACAGTGACATGGCTGCATTTTTGTCACTAACGCGGGGATTAACAGTCCAAGCCACTCAATGGAGCTGCTGGAGGCGCGCGTTCAATTCGTGCGCGCGGGCGCTCGCTCAGCCCGCACCGTGTCGAAGGTGTACCTGAACCCGAATGATATGGCCCATTTCGGCCTCGAATCGGGCTCTCACGTGGTTCTCCATACTATTCCAGAGGCAAATGGCACACCCAAGCTGCTGGTTTGTGGTATGGCTTGGCCAATGGACAAGATCAAACGCCGTGGAGTCGGTCTGAGCTCCATGTGGGAGGCAGCAGTGTCCGAGCAACAAATTGAGATTGTCACAGTACAACTACTACTACAAACTCCCAGCCCTGTCACCAAGAGCGTGGTGCTGCAGCTAGTTTCCCGTTTGCCCATTCACAAGACGAAGCTCTCGGAGAAGGAACGCACGCTGTTGACGCGCTGCATCGCGACGATGATTGACGGGGCTTTGGTTCATCAAGATGCACTGATTTCACTGCCATTGCATGGTGTGAACACCGTATTTCGCGTGCTGGAGGTTGACGGAGAAAGCAAAGACCAAGGGGTCGTGAGGATTGCGGCAGCCAAAACGGCACTGACAGTGGCATGGGAAGAGAAACAGGAGGAGGTAGCAGTGGAGAAGGACAAAATATCGACAATAAATGTGAAACAGGACGGCTTCGCATCGATCGGTGGACTGCAGGAGGAGCTGAAGGCGATTCGTGAAGTGGTGGAGCAACCACTGACCAACCCCGAAACATTTGAGAGATTTGGCTTGCCAGCCCCTAAAGGAGTCTTGTTGTTTGGACCGCCTGGAACGGGTAAGACCCTGATCGCGAGAGCCTTGGCGAGGGAGTTGAACGCTCGAGTATTCACGATCAACGGTCCGGAAGTTGTGAGTAAGTTTGTCGGCGAGAGTGAAGCCAACTTGAGAGCTGTGTTCGCACAAGCCGCTAGAGAGGCGCCGTCGCTTGTGTTTATCGATGAATTGGATGCTATTTGTCCGAAACGTGACTCCCGTGTGGGCGACATGGAGCGCCGTCTTGTGGCGACTTTACTTACGCTTATGGACGGACTGAGCGGATCGCGTCAGGTTGTCGTGTTAGCTGCTACAAACAGACCCAACGCTCTTGACCCCGCGGTGAGAAGACCTGGACGATTCGATAGAGAAGTGGAGATTGGTATTCCAAGGGCTAATGATCGACTAGCAATTCTACGGGTGGCTCTGAGACGCTTGCCTCATAAACTCACCGACTCGGAGCTTCAAGAGCTGAGTTCAAGCGCCCATGGTTACGTTGGAGCTGACCTCAGTGCACTCTGCAAAGAGGCTGCACTGCTTGCACTCCATCGCGCATTCGCGAGCAACACCCAGTCCACTGGAGCCGTATTGGGCGATACTAATTCACTCCCTCCGTTTGAAGTGACTCTGAGCGACTTGAAGCTAGCAATGCGAGGGATCCGACCAAGTGCTTTACGTGAGATCTCGGTGGATGTGCCTCGTGTGTTGTGGATTGATATCGGTGGACAAGACGCACTTAAACAGGCTTTACGTGAAGCGGTGGAATGGCCGCTACAGCACCCGGAAGCCTTTACACGCATGGGTATTCGACCACCAAAAGGTGTGTTATTGTATGGCCCTCCTGGTTGTAGTAAAACACTGGCAGCGAAGGCTTTGGCCACTGAAAGTGGCATGAATTTTATTGCCATCAAAGGCCCCGAGCTCTTTAGCAAGTGGGTTGGCGAGTCCGAACAACAAGTGCGTGAGGTCTTCCACAAGGCTCGTGGTGCGTCCCCGACTGTGGTCTTCTTTGATGAGATCGACGCTCTTGCGAGTACGCGAGGAACTGGAGGCAGTAGCGGCGCATCGGACCGTGTGTTGAGTCAACTACTGACCGAGTTGGATGGCTTGGAGCCTCTGAAGCGCGTATTGGTGGTGGCCGCTACAAACCGCCCGGATCTATTGGACCCGGCTTTGATGCGACCCGGTCGTATCGACCGTGCACTCTACGTGTCCCCACCTGACGTCCCAGCCCGAGAGCAGATTCTGCAGATCCACACACGGAAAACTCCCTTGGCATCGGACGTCAGTGTGGCCGAATTAGCGATTGCCACCGCCCGGTTCTCAGGTGCAGAGCTTCAAGCTCTCTGTCGTGAAGCTGCTCTACATGCAGTGGAGGAGGACCGGGCCGCCGTTAATGTTGCAAAACGGCACTTTGTTCGTGCGTTAGCGGTAGTGACACCGCAGATCGATGACCGGATGCTGGCGTTCTTCGAGCGCTTCCGGGATGGCCAACGGAGATAGATGATAACCTAACTACTGTAAGAGAGTGTTTGAAAAACGACGATAACGTTTGGTAAACAGTGTCCAGTCCTTTAACTCAAGCGCAACTTGCACGTTAAGACGAAGCACTGCTCACCGAGTAGTCTGCTCTACCGACAGCCTGTCGGTGATGAGCATCATGTGGGTTTGCGCCTCAATTGGTGTTTGCACGAAAACAGTCACTTATAGCTCTATCCATACGGGAACGAAGTCGTCGACGCACGTACTCATCGGAAGGTTCAGGATGCATAAGCCAGTAGTACTAATGTTGCACCGTTCGTTTAAGTGTCGTAAACTGCATCATGGTTTCCTAGTTTTGGTGCCCGCAAACTGTCCGTGTAATTACCCCGCTAAAGTTTCGTTTAGCGTATATCTAGATGGGATACCCATGCACTTCTCGAGATTGTCGTAACTGCACGATCAATATGGGTGAAATCGAGTTCAGTGTCGAAAGACGAGTTCAAAATGTTCATCATTTCATTCAGTGCCGTTAAATCGTAAGCTTTCAAGATAACTTCCCGGAATCGATCTCATCAACTGACCGTGTACAGCATCGTTTTATCGTGCCGAATTGACATATCATCGAAGGTTGTCAGTGACAGTGAATAAAACGTAAGTGGCGTTACTCCTTCGCAACGTAAATACATCTCCACACATGCGTACTTCTCCGATTCTTGATGAGATGTTTCGCGTATGCTAATAGCAGCCGCACTCTAACGCAAGTCCGCGGCGTGAACAATCTCCACAGGCTAGTGAAGAACCAGTTCTGCATTCGTGGCCGTACATATTCGTTCAATGAGAACGCCTCTTGAATGGACCAATTCCATGAACTTCACTAAAACTGGGTCGTTAATGTTGAAGTGTATGTTCAAGACGAACGAGTCAAAACCACATGACTCCGTTTACACTTTTCAAGTGAATTGCAAACCTGAAGCAAGTGAGGCGCAATTACATCTCAACCTTGTAGAATTCTCATTTACGAAATCCCGGAAGATATGGCCGATCTAACCGCCACTCTTTCACGTCAGTCGAAGAGTATTCTCTCCGCTTCGCTACGCCGCCATCAAGCCGAGCCTCCGATCGTGAGCCTAGATCTGCCTGAACTCGATCGTTATCACGATCGCGCCGAGCACGCACTGACCGCGACCATTGCAGCCTATGGTCAACTTGGCCACGACGTCGCCACCACACATTGGAAATATCTTCGGTCACGGCACGGTATTCGACTTTTTCGTGGGCGCTATTTAAACTGCGATAGACGGACGCCGTTGTTCTGCATGGGGACACTATATGGTCGTTTCGATGATGTCCTTGAAGGTATCTACTGCGATAATACCGAGGATATGACGCTCATGAATGCCATCAAGTGTCCCCGACTCGCCGAAAGCGCCGTACTGTATGCGGTGCAGAAGACAACCACCTTAGATCCGTACGCCTTCACGGGGATCAAGTGGACAACGATCAAGCTGCCGGTCGGCAGCAACCGAGATTTGTGCTACTTCGACAAAATGGGAATGGTGCGCCAGAAGTCGGGGAAGCGGTTGGCATACCATGTCATGCAGTCGGTGGATCTGTCCCAACACGCACAAAAGTCGACGCACAAACGCGAGAAAGTGTCGTTGTGTTACTTGTTCGAAGAGCTGGTAGATGGCCTAATTGGTGTATACATGCAGGGCGAGATCAACTACATTGCACTCTCCTATTTCGTCAGGATTGCTGTATCGGACGTGCTATTGGCACAGATTACCGGTGCATTGGATTGCGCTCGGGCAAAGAAACTAGCTCTTATGATCTCGGCCACCTCCAACGGCGTACCGCCAGCTGAAGCACGTCGAAGGAAGACGTGCTACGTCTGTAAAGGCAGACCACCAATTTTCGAGAACAATGTCAATTGCGCGGGATGCAATGAATGCGTCTGCAAGAAGTGCCGCTGCAGGGAGCGGGCTCTTGTTCGGGACACAGGATCGAGCCTTTGTGTCCAGCGAGCTGAGTTCTGCAGCGTTTGCATTTCAAAGATAAACTTGTCGTCTCTCGACCACATTCGCGTCGAAGCCACCGGAGAAAAAATGTTTGAGCAGATCAAGGAGACACACAGTTCAACTTTTTGCAAAATTGACGAAGAGACCGAAGACGTGAACGGAGACATCCAGAACAGCCATCAGATGCTGGCATCGTTCGTGCACAGAGTCTCAATTCAAATGCAGGAATTGAACACGGGAAGCGATTACCGAGCATCCAACTTGTCGTCCATAGGGAAAACTTCGTTGGCGGAAGAATATGACGATGTTCTCGACAGCGACAGTGAGGATGAAGACGTGCTCAACGCGAGTCGCTTGGGGAATAACCAATTCGTTACCACCGACAAGACAGCAGTGGAGTTCTCGCGACGGAGTAACTCCACGACGTTTAGATCATCGTCCTCGTTTTGTCACGACGAGGATGATGTTGAATTTTACCCTCCCTCGCTATTCGAAAAGCTTGACTCAAACCACGTTTGATGCACTACGCTGAACGTAGACGACAATAATCTAGACGTTGACGCGGTAGGCGATCCACTTTCACGAAAAGCATAACTTACCGGAATACTTGCGTGCTGTGGAGATCCTTGAATTGCGACTTTCCCATGATTATCCTTTTAGAAGATTTTTTTCTACACACGAAATACGACCAACTTTGCTTCCGGGTCACAACACGCGCTCCTGGCCATGGAATTCATCGGCATGTTCAGGACGAACAAACTAAAACCACATGACCTCGCCGATCTAACTTGATGTTCGTCCTATGCTGGTGGCGCCAGACATTGCTCCCTGCAAGCAGCACGTACGAAATTCGTCGCGTTGATTATTGTCAAATTACTCGGACGCCATGGAATTCCGTAAGCTTAGTATATGAAAAAAAATGTAAGGAGCTTTCTAAAGAACTTTAAAATAAAAAACTAAAGCTCTCAGCTCAAGTGTGTGTGACGACAACATTCCGTCATCCAAAGGGAGAACGGAAGCATCGGCGAGGATGAGTTCATCGAAGTCGTATCCAGGCACGACTTCGACTTCGACATCTTCATCAAACAATTCAACTTTCCATAATTTCGATCAGATTTTAATACGTGAACAATCGCGTAAATTACTACACAGTAGTCCTCAACATGAGAATGAGATCTTACCCTAAGCTGACCAATGCTACTAATGCACGAATAAGAAATTGCTGTCATGCCTTCAACATTTTTGGAGAATCTTCTCTCAGTCCACCGTTAAAGGGATCCCCGCCTGCTTGTTTCTTCAGTCTTTAACGGTGGCATGTTGTTGCCGAACGTTATCAATCCACCACTTTGTCGGACTCGGTGTGGTACATATCTCGTCAATCGAAGAGATACAAACTGCAACGCGAGCGTGTTCATGACTGCACTGTTTCTACTGTTCAAGGCTGCGATACAACCCAGCAGCAGCAAATCCATGACTCTCAGGTACAGTAAAGTTTTTACACTTACATGTTATGTAATGTGGCTGCATTCCAACTTCTTATTGCGCATACATGCACATGTAATACCAAATGGAAGCATTCCACCGGAGATACATTTCCAGCAGCAAATATCCTCGTCGTCCTCGAATTGCTGCGGAAAATATGTGATGACGAGCTCCGATGATCGATGAAAGTGGGCGGACAAACGACGTCGTCCCATTGCCCTGCCCGTCAACATCGAAATCGCCTGAACTTCAGTGAACACCGAGATCTTGGTGGATAAGCCGCACCGAAAGCGTCCACTCGATCACCGAGTCCATGCGCAGGTGCATGTTCACGCGAACCAGATGCCGCTACACTTGAGACTCATAGCCGGTGCACCCTGCGGATTTCGAGGATCGCGAGCACCAAACTCGTCGAGTACATGTACGGCGTGGCGTGCCGACGAAGTTTCCCGGGTGGACGTCCTATGCGGTCATGCGTCTGCTGCTGCGTCACCACTCCATCGATACGCTGGTTATCCCAAGTCGACCGCTATTTCACTTCCCAAACAACCTTCACCATGGCTCAAACACCTTCCAGTCGTTTTGCTTTTGGTCACCGGCTTATGAGTTACCTCCCCACCCCGACACGTCCACCACAACGCAGTCGCCGTGCTGAGCAACCCACTGTAACGTTGGAGCTTCCTGAACTCGATCTCTACCATGACCGAGCCGAGAAGGCCTTAACAGAGACCATCACGGCTTATGGACAGTTGAACGGAGACGTCGACACAAAGCGATGGAAGTCACTCCGGTCGAAGCGCGGCGTCCGGTTATTTCGTGGCCACCCTTTCGTCGTCGGACACACACCACTACTATGCGTTGGCACATTGCATGCCCGCTTCGATGATCTTCTCGAAGGTCTTTACTGCGACAACACGCAAGAAATGCTGTTCATGAACGCCACCACATGTCCACGACTGGCTGAAAGCGCCGTACTGACCGTAGTGCAGAAGAGAGCAAGGATGGAGCCATACGCCTTCACGGGGATCAAGTGGACGACGATCAAGCTGACAATGGCCAACAACCGAGATTTGTGCTACTTCGACAAGATGGGAATGGTACGCCAAGCAACAGGGAAGCGGATGGCGTACCACGTCATGCAGTCCGTGGAGCTACCGGAATATCCTAACAAGATGGCACACCAGCGCGCGCATATATCGCTGTGCTATGTGTTTGAGGAGTTGGAAGACGACTTGGTGGGTGTCTACATGAAGGGGGACATCGACGTTGGAACTCTGTCCTTCTTCGTGACCAAAGCGGTCTCGGACGTGCTGCTGGCGTTTGTCAATGCGCTGGAGTGCACTCGTGCCAAGAAGCTCACTCTGATGATGACCGCCGCACGGCTCGGTGTCTGGCAAAGCAGCTCATCGCTGAAGAACTGCGGTGTTTGCAAAAGCAGCCCCTCTTTCTTCGACAGCTTCACTGAATGTGCAGGCTGTAACAAACCTGTCTGCAAGAAATGCCGCTTCCGGGAGACCGTTCTCACCCGCGACACCATGCCGGGCCACACGAAGCGAGCAGATTTTTGCCGCCATTGCTTTACGAAGATGAACATGCTCTCCACTGAGCAGCTCCGAATCAAGGCACGAGAACATGACGTACCGGCTGAGGAAGACACTCAGCAAGTGGAGACGAACGTGATAGGCAGCGAGCGATCGCTGATGTCCTTCGTCCTCAATATCTCTACTCAGGTGAAGGGACTGAGCAACGACAGCGAGGTTCGTGCGTCCAATTTGTCCTCGATCGGCTGGGCTTCATCATCTGATGAAGAAGGCGAAGAAGTTGACATTGACAATGAGAGCGAAGGCCGCGACGTGCTCAAGTCCAGTCGGTTGAAGACCACACCAATGGTGATCTATGAGAAACCTCCGGCGAACGTGACACGGCGTAGTCGGAGCTCCACCACGTCGACAGCGTCTTCATTCACTCATGAGGAGGACGACTCGGAACAATACCAGACTTCGCTCATGGCCAAGCTCCAGAAGATGTCGCAACAAGTTGAAGAAACTCTACTTTTTACTCGAGAACAATCCGAAGTCGCGCGTTCGGTTCGCGAACGCACCCGCAGTAATCGACTGCTTCAGGAGCGATCTAGTATCAGTAGCTCCTCCAGCCGCTTGTGAGTTCTAGCACGTTGAAGTTGAGTCTACTCGTTGTCATTTACCATCAATCTATGTCAAATTTTGTCACACTCCAGTCAAGTCCTTTCTCGTTCATTGATTGATCGGCACAACACGCGCAACACTCTTGTGAGTTCACTTGTAGTTTTGCTTTGTTAGCGTCATGACGTTCCCGAATCGTGTCAACTACGTCTCAGGTCAAGAGCGACGAGAACCTAAGTGCATCGCTAAGAGACCGCCACCCCAACGCTCTCAACGAGACAATGTGAAGAATGAACCGGGTCTACAGCAGGATCTGAAGCTGATGCTTGCAACGCTGTCGCCTACGCAGCATCAATCCGCGGCTCCGCAGTCGACGCCAACCAAGCAAGATATTTTGACACCAGTGGAGCAGAGCCGCAAGCGGTTGTTGGAGGACCCGACCTTCCAGACGAACGAAAGCTTCCAACGAATGCTCATACTTGCGAACAATCCGGAGGTGAAGAGTCAGTCTGATGTCATCGACCCGTTTGCTGTGGCGATTGAGCGTTTGCCAGACAACCCGCAGAGCTACCAGGACTTCGGTGCGAGCAATGGCTTTTCTCCGGGTGATAACAGTAGATCGCAGTACATGCAGGCTGTAGCAACGCAGAACATGACTGAGGTGGCAGATCAGGTGGAGGACCCCAACATCAAAGCTCAATACGATCAAATAGCGCACCGCTTGCACGAGTGGGGCGAGAGGAGAATGAATCAACACCAACAACAGCAAGAGCCTGTCAACGTCGAAAGAGGTGCGAATACCTTGCCGTCGCTCTCGTTGTCTCTCTCACAAGTGTCACCGTACGCCATGGAGCTCGCTGCTCGTAACAATATGCCCAAGAAACGCTCGAGTCTGTCGAAGTTATCGAAGAAGTTGATGCACGACTGGTTCGAGCACAACTTGCACCACCCGTATCCGACTGAAGAGGAGAAGGAGTGGCTTGCACGCGAAGGAGGCATCACGCTGGAGCAGGTGAACAATTGGTTTATTAACACGCGCGGTAGGAAGTGGAAGCCCATGATCAACAGGCTGATGCAGGAGAAGCAAGCCGGCAACTGCACACTCTTCGACAAGATGGTCAAGAAGATCGAGGAGCCCTATCGCAAGCTCTAATTAGCAGTCACACCGCACCGGATAGCTAGAGAGAAGGTGATAGATTTCAAGCGATGCAAATTACGTAGAAACTGCATCTGAATAATCAAAAAGTTACAGATCATGAAACCGATTACCATCTTGTCATCTATTAATGCTTGGTAATTCCGAGCATTCAACCGCACACTCAAAACCATGCTGCACACTACTGTTCGTATTACCCCGCGAGCTCAGCAACTTCTACATTTCAACTTTGTATGGCGTATCCATCAAGCGGTGTAGCGCTTGAATGCGCAGAGACTCGCATTGTGTCCACCGAAATCGAGGTAACAAGTCTTCCCATCAGTCAAAATTCACTTACAAGATCAACCGTTCTCCTCTCTCCTGTCAGTTCATTTGTGAACTCTCTTTCTTCGGCACATGACATTCCCGAATCGATCAAACTACGACCCGTTCGTCGTCACATGTGTCGATAAGATGCTGGAGGCCCTGTCATCTGAAGGACCTGTAGACTTGCAATCGAGCCCGACCAAAGATGAGTGCAAGACGCTGGTGAAGATCAATCGCAAATGATTGCTGGAGGAACCAGTGTTCCAAGGAGACGAATGCAACCAAAGACTGTTCGACGCGCCGACGATGCAAGACCAATCTGACACGGCTGATCGCAACATCCAGGAGTAGAGCAAGAGGAGAATGTTGCAGCGAGAAGAACATCAGCCACAACCTACTACCGACAGAAGAGTTGCCGATCAACTGTCTTCCCTGACTTTGTCGCTTTCGCAGGTCTCTCCGTACGCCATGGAGCTCGCTGCGCGCAACAATATGCCCAAGAAACGCTCGAGTCTGTCCAAGTTGTCGAAGAAGCTGATGCACGACTGGTTCGAGCACAACTTGCACCACCCGTATCCGACTGAAGAGGAGAAGAAAGCGCTGGCGTTGGAGAAGGCATCACGCTGGAGCAGGTGAACAATTGGTTTATTAACACGCGCGGTAGGAAGTGGAAGCCCATGATCAAGAACTCATGGCCGAAAAGCAGACCGACTACTATTCGCCGCTCTATGACAAGATGGTCAAGAAGATCAGGGATCTATACCACAATTAGTACCTAGGTAGGGTAAGTCCATGGACACAACAGAATAACCACGCATGGCTTGGTAGAAAGAGAAGGACGCTGCAAGTGCTCATCATTCTTGTTCAGTTGTACCATAAAGTTGGCACATCTGACTATCGGAATGGCGACGGATGGCGATCGGACTCTGGTCCGAAGCTCCTCGTGCACGGCTGTGTATGCCAAGAACCGAGTGCTGATTCTCGGCCAGTTCATCTCGGTGTTGATTGCATGCACTGGCGTCTTCTCTCAGCTGCTGAACGGATCGTTCCAGGTGCGAATATTCGGCATTGATATTAGTAGACGAGTTCGACGTTGTGCAGAATGGAGTAAAAACTTACAGATGTGCATTGATTGTGTATTTGTCTAAACAGATCCAGATCCCAGTGACGCAGAGCGCTGGCAATTATCTGCTGCTATGTATGTACTTGGTGGACCCCATTATGCGGTTCCGACGCCAGAAAGGCTACCAACTTGAGATCTCGTGGTGGCAATATCTGTTGCTGGCATTCGCTGATGTGGAGGGGAACTTCTTAGTGGTCTGCGCATACAAGTATACATCTATCTCGAGTGTTATGTTGCTGGATTGCTTCACTATCCCGGTGGTAATGTTGCTGTCGACGGTGTTCCTGCGAGCAAAGTACACACGCTCGCACTTTGTGGGGGTACTCTTCTGTCTTGTGGGCATCAGCGTGTTAGTCATCTCGGACGTGATTCGAGACCAGGAGACGATGTCGTGGGACGTCTCAGCTTTGTATGGAGATTTTCTCTGCTTGTTCGGTAGTGCAGTCTACGCTTGCTCCAATGTGGGGCAGGAATATCTCGTCAAGAAGGAGAACCGACGTGTGCGTAGCCAGTGATTTTGTACTTTGAATTGTGCTAACTCCACGATGATGGCAGATGGAGTTCCTCAGCTTGGTTGGCCTGTTTGGCTTCCTCATCAGTTCGATACAAGCTGTCTATTTTGAAGGAGACGTTGTGCGCGCTGTGGACTGGTACGAAATGTCTCGTTGCAGTAGTCGAAAGTGGTAAACCGACTCGTTTACGATGTGCTTGTAGGACTTGGCTCAGCGCGCTGTGTCTACTTGGCTACATCATCACATTATTTGTTATGTATACTGCGACATCGGTGCGTACAGCCTGTTGCATACCAGGAGGTTTGCATCTAACCCTTAATAACTACGTGCAGAGCTTCCTCACCACAGGCGACGCCGCAGTCTTCAACTTGTCGTTGCTCACTTCCGACTTCTTCGCGGTCGTGGCAGCCAAGTACCTTTTCAACGAGGAGCTCAGCAGTCTCTACTTCGTGGGCTTCTCTTTCATCATCGTTGGCGTCTCGGTCTACAACCGATCTGCGCCGCCTACAACGGCAGCAAGTTGTAGTGAACCATTCGACGTCCAAGACGGCTCTATCGATCGCCTGCTACCCTAGAACGCATTACGCCCAACAGCCTCGAACAGTACTGCATTAATCTAAACACTAAATGCGAAGAAGACGAGGTATATGGTCTGAAAAAATGTAGTAAATGAAAAAAAACTTCCAAGATGGACCAAACCTCAGCAGGCAGCCAGCCATCAGTGGTCCGCGTCGCTGACCTGTTCTGAGTCCCTATTCGCCACCTGTCAGTGCCTGATCCCTGTGCTGCTGCGTTACTTATCAGCTATTCAATGTCCACAACGTGTCCCTCGCCTCGTGTCTATTCCTCCTTCTTGACGTCCAGCGACTCGAGAGCCTTAGCAGCGTCGTCACCGGCCGACGTGTCGGCGGCATCAGCGCCGTCCTCAAGCTTCTTGTTGTTGGCCTTAGCGGCGTCGTGCGCCTCCTTAAACTTCTGGGCGTTCTCAGCGTTGCCGAAACGCAGTGCGAAGACCTGCGCCTCCACGACACCCTCGGCGAAATCGTAGCAGCTAAAGACCCAGGCGCGGTCGCTGCCCATGTTAGGCGTCAGCTCCGTACGCGATTCCACCAGGTGGTTCACCAGAATCTTGTGCGTCTTCTCCTGGCGCATTAGCATGCGCACCTTCTGATGCTCCTTGTGCTTGAGGAAACGCACGTCTCCCACACCACGCTCGCACCATGTCTTCTTGCCGGTTCCCTTGTCGAGGAGCGACTCACGGTAGCAGAACGCCTTAGCACGCCTAAAATAATAATATAAAAAAATGTATTAGGGGAAAACGCCTATATAACGCGTAAAATGCCAAACGCAACGTACTGCTTGAAGATGACCTCCTCCTCTTCCTCGCCGGTGGTCACCTCAACCTCGTCGAGCTTCACAACGGGCTCGAAGTAGGCCTGTGGTTCCTCCGACTCCGGGTCCTTAGCGGCATCAGCCTCCTCAGCCTCCACCTTGGGCGTCGTCTCCTCCTTCTTCTCGACCTCAGACATGTTAGTTGGCTAGGATTCTTGTTTTTGGGGAAAGCTACGACTGGCGGTGGGCCGTCTATATCGGAGGTTGCGCGAAGGTCGCGTGACAAAGCTAAAGCGCGCTTCAATTGACGAAACGCGCTTAAATGTGCACCACATCAAGGATCGCAGTGGCTACACTTTGCTCTGATTGGATAAAAATCCTCTTTCATATTTTGCCCATCAAAATCGATAGATCAATCTCGACGCCGTGCGCATTGGTCTGCAGACGCACCGCATGGACGCAGACGGCGGCGGCGTCAAGAAGCGCAAGACGGAGGCTAGCGCCATGCTGCGCAAAAAGCCGCGTCGCTCTGCTCGTGACAAGAGCGAATTTGTGAGCGTGGAGGTCGGCATGCGCGAGTTCAAGAAGCGCCTGGCTGCTTCTGGCTCAAACGACGCAGATACTGCTGACACTGCTGCTGGGGCCAATACAGTGGAAGATCTGACACAAGACGTGAAGAAGACGAGGACGCGAGCTAAACCGAAGACAGAAGTAAAGAAGGTAACTACGCGGAAGACGGCACCTCGAACGACTACACAGAAGGCAACTGCAGCAGAGAAGAAAATGACGGTAAAAAAGACGCCAGTGAAGAGAACGACACGCTCATCATCAAAAATGACGCTGGCGGAGGTGAAGGCGCAACTGGAGCGAGAGCAGAAGGACAGAGTGGAGTACCGTATCCAGACGCTGCGTCGGGACACAAAGCCAACCGCTGTTCCTGCATCAAGTGTTTCTGTCGGTGCTTCTGCTGTCACCACAGCTCCTGGGCTTGCTGCTCCAGTAGATGAAGCCCCTTCTTCGGCTCCTGTGGCTCCTGCACTCGCCGTTCCTGTTGCTTTGCCTGTACAAATCCAGGCATCTGCGGTTGTTAGTGCCCAGCATCCTATGGAGGTGACGAGTGCAGCACCGGCCACAGTAATGCCGAGCCTAACACTACCCGCTACTATTGAGAATCATACCCAGAGCACGCAAGCATACACGTCAACGACGCCGGCACCTCCAACTGCTAACCTTTCAGTTAACCTAGCTCCTGTCTCGACAGCCGTTCCACCGTCTAACCCGGTAAAGAACGAGTTTATTGCTGATGACGTGGAAGAAGATCTCATGTTTGCAATGGCACTTGAAGAGGTGGAACGGAAGCTTGCAACGCCTCAGAAGCAACCTCCTTCTAGTAAAGCTGTTGTTGCTACTAACTCGTTACCCTCAGTTAGTCATCAGGCCCCGGCTGTTCCAGCAAAGCCGACGCCTGTAGAACAAAAGGTGGAAGTGCAACCCACTCAAACTCTTAACGCTTCTCAGCCTCAACCAACTGAGACACTGATGGATATCAAACAAGCAGAACTTGCTGTTGTGTTGGCGCCTGATGTATTGGAAGAGATGGAGCGGTTGAGACGAGAAAATGAACTTCTCAGGCGGTCGAACGAACTTCTCCAGGCAGCTGTAACGCCGCCTGCGCACCCAGAAACTCGTGTTGATGAGCAGCCCAGGCGTTCCCCAGACAGATCCACTGCACACGACCGCAAAATTGAATCCACGGTATCACTAGAGGATACTTCAGCAAGATCGATAGCTCAATATCTCGACCTGGCCAGGTGCGATAGCGACCAGAATATGAAGCAAACTGCTTACGCCAAAATTCCGGATCGTACGATCGATATGAATTCTCCTGAAAAGCGTAGTGGAAATGCAGAACCAAACGGCGAAGACAATTCAGAAAATATAACCAACGAAGAGAAAAAAATACATGAAGGTGAGCACAAGCCTGCTGAGGACACGGAGGCTGTCGCTGAGCATCAAATACACACAGAAAACGTGTCGCAGCTGTCGACCGCTGTCACCTCGCAGGCAGAATCGCAGTCTACGCCATTGCCCGATCACTCTACCCCCAGCGAAAAAGATGACCATTCACCCACACGGCAAATTGCGATTGAGCAAGAAGCAGACGGAAAATATGAGGTTGTGTTACGTGAAAAAGAAAAAGCAACCAAACTTTCTCCATCGAAAGAGAAAGAAGACGAGCATTCTGTTCATGCCACGGCTGGAAGCGATGGTGATGTATCGGATGTCAGCATGTCTGAACATGACGGTGAAGAAGAAGAAGAAGATCCAATGGGGAATGATGACTCTGCCCCGCGAACTTCAACAATTGACATCGGAAACTACGCAGAGTACAAGGTTCATCAACAGGACGAGTTGGAGGCTGGCGAGGATGAATGCATAGAGGAGAGATCGGATGATGTGTCCGAAGACAAGATGGCCTCTGCACCAGCACCATTGACTCCTGTTGACTTGAAGCCGTACGAAAGGGTGGTTGGATATGAAGCTAATGTAATTCAAAAGCCACACACATCAGCGAACAGCGAAAATCTCGAGCGAACCACTGCTCCTAGCAACTCAGAAGATTACGAGGAAGATGGAGGCGAAGATGAAGAAGAACTCATGGTCGTGAACCGTGTAAAACGACGAGAAGTAATGGCTATTTCATCGTCGTCGTCATCATCAGAATCGGACTCAGAAATCGAAGAAGATGCAGCCGATGACACGCCCAGCTCGAACGTACTGGAGGCTGCTTTGAAAGCGGCAGGGAGCGACTTTGGCCGTAAGAACCAAGCGAAGGCGCCTTCTACAACCACTCGTGATCGCCGAGAATCCAAGGCAACTCTGTCTGGTGGTGCGTCGGTGTCATCACCCGCGGTTCCTGTGAAGTCGAAGAAACGAAGAACTCCAGGTCTATCGCCTTCCACTGCAAAGAAACCTCCTAGCGTAAAGAGCTCTCTGCTTTGGCCAGAGCTTGACGAGTTCTACGATTTTCTACTGGACTTGTCACCACGAAATGTCCGTCGATCGGAGAAGAAGAGGACATATCTTGAACAGTATGTTGGTGGGAAGATACCTACTCAGCACTTATCTATCGAAGACTATTGCAACGTACAGCTCGAGGCGATTATGGAAGAACTGGTTGCATCCGTCAGCAACACTACGGATAGAAGAGGTGGAGGAGGCTCAGGTCCCATTCGGCATTTATCACTCGCGTCAGTATCACCCTGTGGAACCCAAGGGATGTCTACGCCGACAGTGGGGCTGAGTTTGGGTGCTATATTCTCTGAAAGTGGCTTTACTGGAAACACATCCAACAGCAACGACTATATCCTTACGTTTGATGCTTCTGGGCTCGGTAAAAAGGCCTCGTCTGACTTCATGAGTGGCGATTTGGTACTTCTGCGCTCTCCTCGCTGGAAAAACTACGAGATGTGCGTTTTCGGCGTGATCCTGTGCGACTCTGTGGTCGCAGTGGGAGGGAAGAACGGACCTGGGGGTAAGAGCGGAGGCGGAGAAAGTGACCAGATCTGTGTGCTTATTCGGGTTCAACCGCGTGACCGAGATGATGCAGTCGAGAACTTTGGTGTGTTAACGGAGCTATGTCTCTCGAATCAACGAGCGCCTAACTGGCGATGGCCAATGCAGCAAGTGCACAATACAACCACAAGTGCTCGCGAATTCCAGGCGATAAAGGCGATATCGTTTTTCCCCAACGATCTCAAGCAAGTTCTACTAAGCGGACAGCTAGTATCTACTACCAGAGCAGAGAAGAAATTTGTACCTTCATCGTCAATGATTTCCCCACGCTTGCTGAAGTACCTGCAGAAGCACTACAATGACTCGCAGGTCCAGGCAATCCTCGGATGTCTTGGAGAAGACAGCCGGGTCATCATTCAAGGACCGGTACGTTATGCTTTTGCATGTTTTATAATGTGTTTGTGTGCACAAAATAACCACAGAATTTTGTTTTGATCTTACAGCCTGGAACAGGTAAAACCAAGACAATTCTTGGTCTTCTTTCTGCTTTGCTGGATGGTGCTGGTCTATCTACACTTCAGAAAGCAAAAGGTACGGCTCGTATACGTGTGGGAGCGTCACTACAGAACGCACGGACGTCTGCAGTGTCCAAGACTGTAGCTGAGACCTCGATCCGTATTCTCGTCGCTGCTCCTAGTAATGCTGCTGTCGATGAACTGGTGTTACGAGTTCTGAGCGAAGGTTTGTATGACGGTGAGAAAGGAGAGTCCTACCGCCCACGTATCGTGCGTGTCGGTCGTCCGGAAAGTCAGCAACTTTCGAGTTTGGCCGCGGCTCGAGAAGCCAGCGAAAGCAAGAAGAACCGCAAGAAGATGCGCAAGTACGCTCGCGAAGTGGAAGAAGTTCTACTTGAAAGTTTGGTGACGAAGCATCGCAGCACTTTTCCGACTGTGAAACAGGCGCGTCAAGCAATCATCAAGAATGCACAGATCGTGTTTTGCACGCTAAGTGGTGCGGGGTCCGTGGCGATGTGTGAGTTTGCCCAGGATTTCGACGCTCTGATCATTGACGAAGCTGCCCAGGCAGTTGAGGCCAGCACTCTAATCCCGTTTAAGTTCCGCCCACACCGAGTTGTACTGGTAGGTGATCATCGACAATTACCAGCTACGGTGATTTCAAAGAACCTGGTGTCAATGGGCTACGACCGGAGTCTGCAGCAGCGGCTTGTAGAGAATGGCTCACCGGTGTTGCTGCTGAATCAGCAGTATCGAATGCATCCTGAAATCTCCGAGTTCCCGTCCAAATTCTTCTATGAAGGGAAGCTGGTACAAGACGATAACATGCGCGAATGGACGGCTCAGGACTACCATCGTGACCGTGCTTTCAAGCCTTTACTATTTTTGGATGTGCAAGGCGCTCAAAGTCAGGTTAGTGGATCCACATCACTACGAAATATGAGTGAGGTTGAGGCGGTGATCCAGCTCGTTCGCCGCTTACTCACCAAATCCCCGCGCATCGAATGGAAGAAGCGCATCGGTGTCATCGCGCCGTACAAGCAACAGATCTACGAAGTGCGAGGTGCGATTGGGAAGTTAGAGGCAGAGTTTGACCGCCATCTGGGCATTGAGGTGAACACTGTGGACGGCTTCCAGGGTCGAGAGAAGGAGATCATCATCTACTCGTGTGTTCGTACCAGCTACGGTGGCCGCAGAAAGCAAAAGAAACGCAGTCGTGGCAACGATGAGGAGGACGTTCTTGACGCGTTTTGGGCTGACGAGCGACGTATGAATGTCGCCATTACGCGTGCCAAGAGTAGTCTGTGGATCGTAGGGAACTCGACGTTGCTGAAGCAGAGTCGCGCGTGGCGAGCTCTTATCCAGCATACGAAAGATCATAAAAGGTATGTTGGTGACGGTGCCACGCTCTTCGCCTCTAGCTCGTCAACTCGGAAGATAAGTAAGGCATCCAGCAAGTCCAAGAACAAAGCCAATAGCCAATAGAGACCAAATAGAGACAACTTCAACATGTATGGATTCATATCGATTTATGAGTTATTAAACTTTTTTGACAGGTATTTAAAGACACTATCTCGAGGGAGCGTAATGACATTGAGTTTGACATGCTCGCGATACCTGCGCCCTATGAGGCTCGTCGCCGACGCACCGAGTGGCCCGAGAGCGTGCGACAGGACCCGGAAGTCAAAGAATTAGACGAGGAGAGCGGTGAATGGATCCTGTGTCGCACCTGTGCTGAGCATTATGAGCGGTAGGCGTCGATTATAGGCTTGAATGTGTCATTTTTCCTAATATTATGCTTGCTCCGATACTACAGAACGCGAAGAGGCCGAAAACCCAACGATCCAAAAGGTTTCAGGGTTAAGATGAACGGGAGATTTCAAGAAGCAGCCTGGGTGATGCACAAGAGCCGCGTGGTAGCCCATAGAGGCACCCCGTACATGACTACAGAGACATCAGAGGAAGAGGAGAGACGACGCGAGGTTGAGATGCAATTCGAGGTGCGACGGATTCTGCCCAAGAGGCGAAGAGTTGGAAGCACTGAAGAGGGAGAAGAAGAGGGCGTGGAGGTGGAGAACAGGGAGGAGAGACAAGTGGACGAACCCAGTGCTTGCGCAACGTTGATTCATCTTCCGACGACTGGATGGCGCTGCCCAGGAATCGTGCCCGATGCGTTCTATCGTGAGAATGTGGAGCTGGTCCATGCCTTTGCCAAGTATTATGTGGGGACGTATCGCGTCAATGTGGTGAGGGATCTTCGATCGGACAAGTGCGTGTTGGATGTCTAGGGTGGTTGGAAGAACCTTTTCTCTTACATGTTGCTATGAGCGTGAACAGAGTTATGTTGTTTTCACACGACTGTGAGAATCAGATTGTGCATCGAGAACGACCAGATCAGCCAGATTCTTGTGAAAGATGCTACTCGGTGTGGCTGCATAACAAGAGTTTCAAGAGGATTCTGAAGAAGATGGATCGCTATACACTTGTCGAAGAAATCCTACGTCATTCATGGAGGTACAAATGACTGCTTTTGTGGTTTTCTAACTCACTTATCGTTGATTGCTGTTCGTGCTGTTGTTTATTCAGTGTGTCAGCCGATGAGTTGTCGGTTCTGTCCAAGTTTAAGCACTCGAGTGACATGAATCTCAATCTCGAAGGCCGAAAGTTGAAGCAAGCGGCTATGGCAGCTGTTCAGCATTTCTGTGGGTCTACTGCACGAAAAGGCTCTGGTAGGACCAGAGCGATCACAGCTCGAAACGAACGCTTTGACCGAGTTCAGCAGCCTCTTTCGATGGAAGTGATGCTGCAGCTGCAATCGCTAGATTCATCAATGCACACCACCGCAGCGCCTGAAGCCATGGAAAACCAGAAAGGAAATATGCAACAGCCCAGCTCGCCCAATGCTTATCTCATCCAGCAGAATGCTGCAGCTACAGAAGCCATCGAGCAGTTTCCTTCATCACGAGATGAATAAACAAACATGGAATACCCTCACTAATATGGCGATTAAGGCAGGGAACCTTATCCGGGCAACGTCCACAAATTTAGCACATTTTGGAGCCACCATTTCGTTCATTTTTAGCGAACGGGACCGGTGACAAGACTTTGAATATGGTGGTGTGCCGAGGAGCCAAAATAGCGACTAAGTATCTGGATGTTGCTGTGCGTGGCCATTCTGTACAGCCACACTTGGTGCACATACGGTCATTCGAGAAAACGCAGTGTCGGCGAAGGACTGCAGCATCAAGATCTCCTGGATGGCAGCTTTCGTCGCACTGTTCCTGCTCGTCGCTGTAGCAGTGGTGGGGTTCGCTATCAGACACTGGTTGTCTGGTCGACTCTCGCCGCTGAAGGACCATTCGAAGAAGCAAGAGGAACTGAACACTGATGGAGTCGAGATCGTTATCCAGAAACCTGTTCCTGAGCGCCGTCTGAAGCTGGCGTTGCCTGATCTCTCCTCTATCCAGATCGGCTCACCTGTTGGCCCGATGAAGTCGTCAATCCGAAGTGCTCTGAAGGAACTTCGCTCTCGTCAGATGGTGCAGAGTCTTTGCAGTAGATTTGAGTCCCGGACGAAGGTGCCGAGTGAGGCTGAACATGATACCAAAGATACTACGAAGAAATCGGTAGCTGGGGCGACTCAGCAGACGAAAACTCGCCGTCGAGACGCACGGGACGCAGCTGTTGCTCCTGTGTTGTTGGCCAGCGACCTCGCGAAGGAGGCTGAGATCACCGCGAATGCTCGATCGAACAATTTGAACAAGTTCCTACGCAGTTACGCGTCCAACCTGGACAATGCCATCTCCGCAGAGCGACGTGTCACGACCACTAATAAAGTCGTTTCGGTCGAGCGGAGTGTCGTCATCAGGGACGCAGAGGATGACGTTAAACAGCCTTTGCTTGTTCAGACTGGAAAATCAGCGAAAGCGGAGAAGACGACTCCATCGTCGAGCGAGAGCGATGAGTCTATCATGGATCTGGACAGGAATTCGTTTGGCGGTGAGCGCCGTCGTCTCACACGCCTTGTACCTTTAGAACTGGATCTGCGGACGCTGAAAGTAAAAACCGAGTACTCGAACCAGTGCGACTCGCCCCCGACTGCAGGCAGTGAAGAGGAGGTTCCTGGCCTGGTTGACGCAACAGACTGCGAGCCGTTTGTCGACGAGGAGCCCGAAGTGGGCAATAACAACGCCAACCGCGGCATCGCAGCACGACTCTCAATAGCCTTCACTCTGTTAGACTTCCCCGACGTCACCAAGAAGATGGCACCGGAATCCGACAACAGACCCGAATCCTGCTCAGACCCTCCGGCCAAGGAGGCCCTCGCTCGCTTCAAGCAACAGGTTCCATCGAATAGACGGCGTGCACACACCATCGCCCCACTAAAAATCTAACTTATAAAGCAAACTTATCATAAACCGGCATCACCAGCGCTCACACAGATGAAAACGCTGTTGGAGTTGCACTTAATATCATCCATTCCGCTCGCTGAGCCCATCTGTGAGAATGGATTAATTGTATTCCACAGAGATCTTAACTTCGACGGACGAAGTAAAGAACTCTGTGGATTCTAACAAGCTCGAACGCTTTTTTTTATGTGCTGCTGTTGCCTGATGTCAAGGAGCGCTAGCGTGTGTGCTCCTTCCTCCATGGCCGCTAAGCGGCTTGGCCGGATGTCTCTCATGGATGTTGGATATTCTGTCCAAAACGAGTCCAACTGTCCAAAATATCCAATTTGGTTTTTGCTGTTTTGGTGATAAATTACCACATTTAAAATCTGTCCAAAACATATGCGTTATTTTATAAATTACGGATCTAAATCTTACCTTTTTGCTAGTAAAAGTACGGCTAGAACGGTTGGCGTGTAGTGCGTTCTCGAGCTAGGGCATTACTTCATTCAGGCATTTCCAAAATGCTGCACGAAGGGAAGGAGTATGTGATTAGGACAACGAACAAAGTCACTGGCACCATCTACTACAACTGCCGTCATTTCCGACAAGGCTGTCTTGCAAAGCTGATTTCGAAAAGAGAACACGAACGCGCTCGCGGTGAGCACAACTGCGAGAATTTACTGCCGAAACAAGTCGTGGATGTGCGGTGTGAAATGCGTCAGCAGCTCCAGCGAGCGGCTCTAGAATCAGCGTCTGAAGCTCCATCAATGGTGTGGGAGCGTGTCCGCTCAGCATTGAACAACTTACACAAAGGAAGCACGCTGAACGCCATCCCAAAACTGCAAGGTGTCAACATTGTCAAAAATACCCGCAAGGGTATGGGTTGCGATATGCTACACTCGCTCGACAAGACCGAGGCGCGCTGGCTCAGCGACTCGGTCAAACGTTCCTTTGTGAGGTTTAACACTGGGTTCTCTGTCAAGAATAAGGAGCGTCGTATCGTAGGATTTGGGCACCCAGATCTAGTCCTCTTGCTACGAAACCCAGCAATTCCGGTCTTCATCGACGGCACCTTTAAAATGGTGCCGAAACCGTTCGTACAATGCCTTATTGTAATGCTGCTGGACGCTACTGTTAACTTGTACGTTCCGGCGATGTACGTACTCCTTCAAGGACGAGACTACGACACCTATCTGGACGCATTGACGATGATTATCATTGCGACGGACCGCCGACTAGAACCCGCCAGCGTTACGTGCGACTTTGAGCTCGCGTTGATCAACGCTGTAGTCGACCAGTTCCCGAAAGTGCATATCGTGGGCTGTTTGTTTCATTGGAAACAAGCGCTTCGCCGTCACATGCTGGATCAGGGCCTAACAAGGGATCAGGTGAAGGATGCAATGACCCCCGGCAAACTCGACATTTTGACCATCATTCCTGCAGATGAAATCGACGACAAGGTGCGCATATTTTTATTTTCCTTATCGTTTGAAATTTTAACCTTTTTGTTATTGACATTTTTGACACTTCAATTTTGACGTTATGATCTTGTATGACGTTGTAATTTTTAACCAGGGAATCCGATATGTGCGAAGTCTGATTAACGAAGAGGGCTCTAAGGGCAAGTGGGATCAGTTTTGGCGATATTTTCGCAAGACGTGGATGGGGCGCTTTGATTCCAGCTTGTGGAACGTCAATAGCATGATGGTTGGTGGGATTGACATCACAAATAGGACCAATAACCCGCTCGAAAAGTACAACCGCGACTTCGGCGAGAAATTTGGGCGTGGAGCTCATCCAAGCTTACTGGCGTTCATGGAGATAGCTAAAGCCGAGGCACTAGGTTACGTGAACCGCATCCATGACATCAAGCTGGGAATTCAAACAGCGCCTCGCCACGCTGAAGCTGTCGTCACTCAAGTCCCAGACGACTACACGAACTTCATGTAAACTGTTTGGATAGCTTTTGGACAGTTTGGATAGCTTTTGGACAGTTTGGACAGTCCTGGAAAAATATACAAAACAATCTTTTAGTGTATTAAATCCGTCATTTATCAATTGGACAATTTGGACATTGTTGTACTCGTTTTGGACAGAATATCTCCTTCCCTCTCATGTTTCGCACCTTTTTCGACGCGACTCGTACGGCTGTCTTATTATTGCCGAAGCTTTAGACGACATGACTGAGTGGGCTACGGGGCTCGACTCTGTAAGTACATGTAGAATGGGGCGTCGTGACTTCTGATCCTCGAGAGCCACGTGAGTTCGAATCCCGGCTTCCGTCTTTTTCCCTTTTGTCTTGTTGCCGACTTTGTTCCTGTACATCGGCCACAGAATTTGTTAAATAATAAAATACTTTTACCTACTCTCTCGTCCGCTGACCTCCATTGGCCACTTACCGCTCGTAGTTGACGAAGTCGAGACGCATTCTGCCGTCCTATCGAGTGTAGGTTCAGTATGGATTGGTAGTAGAATAGAACATAATACTCAATTGACTTAAACAAAAGCTTAATCATGTACACTCGGCGACAGGTAAAGGCCGTAACTTTCTCAGTTTTACGAGTTAGCGACTAATATGTTAAGGATTCGATTGGTAGAAATACGGCTCTTGTGTTAACGAGCCGGACTTCGCAGCTCTTGACATGGCCAGCATACAAAATAGTGATTTTGACACCGCGTCAGGTTATATCGGCCACCCATACCCTTACAAAAATCAAGTCAAACAGAATGATGGTCAAATTAATAATGCGTCTTGTTGCCTTTCCTGTCAAGTACTTCCACGCATCTGCGCGGCATAGACTCAATAAGTGACGCTAACAAGGTGTTGGGAATAGCGCCCCAAGCCTCAAATAGAGCGGCTTTCAATTGAGCCACACTATCAAACTGTTTGCCATTACCATAAACCTTCCTGCTTATAATAGACCAGAGATTTTTAATAGGGTTAAGATCTGGAGACTTAGATGGCCTGTCCAAGACGTTGACGTCTTGCTCCGCGAAGAACTCTTCCGTGCGCTTGGAAGCGGGAATGCTTGCGTTGTCCTGCTGATAAATGAACCCCGTACCGTAGTTTAAATGAGCAAATGGAAACAGGTACTCGGAGACAGTGTACACGTAGTCATCCGAGTTCTGCTTCCCCACCAACACAGCCAACGGAGACTTGCTGAGCGAACTGAACGCCACCCAGACCATTACCGAGCCCCCTTCAGCTTGTCTCCGCTTGGTTTGCCGAGGCGGTTGTCGCAAATCGCGCCAGTAGCGCTGGAAGCTGTCGGGTCCATCTAGGTTCCACTTCTTCTCGTCCGAGAAGATGATGGTGACCCAGACGGCCCCTGCGTCTTTTCGCGCAAGCATGGCGCTGGCCCATGCCTTGCGCGCCAGCATGTCCTCCGACTTCAGCGGCAAGGTGTTCTCCATCTTGGAGTACACCAACCAGTCTACCCTTGAAAGGGTACGCTGGATGGTGCGAACTGATACTGAAAGCTTCAAGTCGGTCTTGAGTTTTGCCGCTGACTTCTCGCCCTTGGCCGCTGTTCGCACGAGGAGCCTGGTCTCGCGGTCGGTGAGGATGGGGGTGGGGCCTTTTCGCTTGTGTTTCTTCTGGTGCTCGGACTGGACGGGGGAAATGACTCGCCGCACCGTATCACGACTGCGCGCCGTGATTCGAGCGATATCCCACCCGCTGACGCCTCCTTCGTGGAGGCCTTCGATTCTTCCTCGCTCTCTATCCGTTAGTCTGGGCTTCTTCTTAGCTGGAGGCGGCTTCGTCTTTCTTGGCATTTTGCCAAATACCCAACATGAGACCGCTTCCCACAAGCAGGTCTTCCCCGTGTCTAACCATTCGTTTCCTAATTTGACCGTCATTCTGTTTGACTTGATTTTTGTAAGGGTATGGGTGGCCGATATAACCTGACGCGGTGTCAAAATCACTATTTTGTATGCTGGCCATGTCAAGAGCTGCGAAGTCCGGCTCGTTAACACAAGAGCCGTATTTCTACCATTTGAATCCCTAACATATTCAAATAGCAGTCGCTAACTCGTAAAACTGAGAAAGTTACGGCCTCCGATGTGGGTGGCCGATATTACCTGTCGAAGAGCGTATTGCCAAGATTCAAATACTGTTTGCTTGTTTGGGTGCTTCTACTACGTCGTCGCGAGCAGAGTGAACACCATCGCTTGTGCGTCTTGGCCATTTTCGTGGTTTGGAGGTTGGTTGGTGGTCTCTTTCCTGATCTTGGTCATTTTGTCGGACGAGTCTGAATACTGTTGACAGCTTCATCTGTCCTGTTCTACGCTTTCGTTTGCTTGGCTTTAGTCGAAGTACCTCATATCCTATGTTAAACAACTTGATAGCGTGGGGTTCATCGACGACTGTAGACATTGGAGTGCCCAAGTGTGCTTCAATTCCGTTCGTGATGTGCCTCATCATGATTGACCACTCAGATAGTGTTGCTTTCTTCTGAGGTGTATCTAAATCATCAAACGGTATCCCTCTATACGGAGGGTAGCCGAGGTTTGGATTCCTAAATTACCAAAGCAGACATGCGCCTAGGGGGTCAATGCTCGGAAAGTTATATTCTCTGGGAAGAAGGTGAAACTTTCCACCCCGCGTAAAATACGAGCGTTTTGGTGCAGTAGTAGCTACAGCGTCGCGAGTTAGTAAATACGTTGAAGACTGACTTCTGCTAACAAATTGTGAATTTCTTCGCGTAATAACTCTCGCGTAATATTCCCAGCTGCAACACCCTTGCTTTCCAGCGCGTGCTCCATTTTTTTTCCAACTTTTCTGGCAACACATCAATGGATTCCGGTTGTTTGTCAAGTTTTTTTTATACAACTCGATATAAGACGGTATTCCAGTGGGTTGCATCCACGGAGACTCGCCAGCTGTGAGCTCTTGCTGTAACTTTTGCAGCACCACTGGATTTCGTGTTACGTGCGTTGAAAGTAGAGCGTGGTCAGTTGGTAAATGCGTCTGTAGATAGTGAGCGTGTTGAACCAGACTAGCAAGGCATAACTGTATTCCCATCATATTGACCTCACCACACAGACTAGAAACATAGTCCTCACACACGATGTCACAAAATTGTTGGAGGTATCACGAAAATGAGGAGGTATGTCGAAAATTTTGAATTATTTACGGGAAGACCAGCCACCACTGGCCCCAAGAACTGATCGCCAGCAGCTTCGTAATGGAAGTAGCGATCTTGAACACCACCAATACTCCAACCACAACGAAGACAAACACTTACTATAGGCGGCCCGCCAGTGCTTCCTCCGCACGCAAATGTTGCTACCCCTTTACGTACTGAGTGGGTGCCGAAACTCTTGGCAGAACCATCTCTTTTCAAAACCCCAGTTAAAATCTCGCCAAAACGTAGTTTCTGGTTGGATCCTGGAAAAAGTGCGCCAGGTTCCAGCCGAGGATGACACGCAAGATAGACTGCCAGGGCAGTTATCCAGCACGTTGACGGACTTGATGGATTCGCGTACAAGTGACGCGGGTCACGTGGTCCCGAACCTTCTTGGTTCGTCTTGGTCTTGACAAATACGACACCAACGCTGTCGTCTTTTGCCAATAGATGCTGAGTCTGAAGTGTTTGTACTGACATAGACCTGCACATCAGGTTCCACTGTGAAGTTAAAAAGAGATGAGATAACTCGCCACCGTTAATGTTCAGAGTCTCCAGACACAACTCACTGTAGCGTCAGTACGTCAAAGGCTGCTTGCCCGATGACTTAGGAGTACTGATCTGGTCATTATCCACCTCAATTCGTTTCAAACCGGAGAAAGTTGTTTCATTTTGTCTCCATATTCAGTCGGTAATGCAAGGCGTTTTACACGATACAGGTCCTTAATAGCACTCCGGTATCCACTTAAAGTGGCAGTATTGACAGAACTGCGTTTGTATACCAGGAAACGCTAAAAAAAAATAATACAGGAGTAAACTCCGTTAGAACAAGTTCGTCGTGCTCGTCAAAGAACCTGCCGGTGTTAGCATCTTCCTTGGAGAGCTCCTCCACAATCCATCTCTTGATACCGTTCAGACTGTTCTTATACTTCACTCTGGTGTGCTTGGACAAGCAGGCATCGCGTATTGCCTCTACATCGCTTGCTGCACCACCCGTGGGTTGCGAACTTCCACCACTCATTGTGCCTACGTTCGATGCGTTTTTCTGAATTGATCCAGCCAATGGGGCAACGTACAGCAAAACAAGTACTTTGTATCGAAAATGTGCTCATAGCTTATGGCCCATTTTGATCTCTTTTTAGTATGGTGGGCCATAAGCTATGAGCACTTTTCTGAAAAAAAAAGTTCTTGCCTTGACTGCTTACTTCAAAAAAATTCTTGCCTTAGCTTATGACCCACCAAAAATAGGAAGTGAACTTGCTTTTTTGAAAAAGTAATGATGTGGTACACACCATCTTATTCTTCTTTTCTGCCAATCATCAGCTCTTGCGCTTGTCAGCTTTACTCCCGCCAAAACGCCGCCAACGCCACTCTACGATGGTGGACGTCGAGGCGCAGACTGAGTGCACCCTGCCGGTACGTCTGCGTTCCCCATGTGCTCTAGCTAGTAATATCCGTGCTCTAACTTGTCATACACAGGTGACAGTGGTCGGCGTGGAGAAGGATGTTATGTTTGGTGTGCGTGTGCGCAAGAGCTTCGGCTCTCGCGCGTTCTGGGGCACCGTTGTGGGCTGCTATTGGGTCTCAGGCGGACTTTTCTACAAGGTGAGCTTTGACGACGGCGACGTGGACATTTTCTCGGCCGACGAGGTGCTGCAGGACGCACAGGCGGCCAAAAAACACGCCAAGGAGAACCCACAGCAACAGGACAAGGAGACAGGTGACACAACAGCAGTGGACGACTATTTCCGAGCCATGAGACTGCACAAACTCAAGCGGAAACGAGACGATACGGTGGACAATCCCCCTACGATCCCCAACATCCAGAGAGTGAGTCTCTGGGGTCAGAGACTTTACGCCTCCATCTACACCAACCTGAAGAACGAGACGTTCATTAAGGACCTTCTTAAGACGGATGACGGACAGATGGGAGAGATGGAGGCCACAGGACGCGTCCAGGTCGGAGATATGATCTTAGCGGTGAACGAGACGCGGGTGCTGGGCATGTCCAGTAGGGACCTCGCGGAGCTCATTCGGAAGCCCAAACGTCCCATTATCTTGACGTTCTATCGGCCACTGCACTCGCAACTGCCAGCAGAGCAACAAAAGGCACAGAATCAACAGACACAGCAGTCTCCTGCAACGTCAAGTACACCAACGCCCACGACACAGCCAGTGCCGGCCCCACACCCTCCAACCACTGTACCAGCATCTGCACCAGCGTCTGTTGTAATGCCGCCGTCGTTTGTTCCGCATCCAGCGCTTGCACAGGCGAGACCAATGGCTCAAAATCTAGCTCAGCAGTGGACGAATGCATCGCAGCCTCTTTCAAACAAGGAGATTATCCGGCAACGACTGAGCCAGAACGCTGCAGCAAGACACGCCAGCTATGTGCCTGGATATCCCAGGGGTGTGTACGTACCGGCAAATGCAGGTATACGCACAGTGCCTCCAGCTCACAGTGGTGCGTATCAAGCGCAGCAGCAGTTTATGCAGAGAGTTGTCAACAGTGCTGCTATGAGGGTAACGTCGGGATACACTGCACCAGGTATACAACCGGCAAGGCCGATAAACCAGCCTCAGATTTCTACAACCGCGGCTCAGCACATACCGGCGAATCAGCGGCGCACAGGTCTTACCCTTTACGAAAAGGTGCAGCAATTGCAGGCCCAACGAAACTCAGTGGCCGTGGTGGGAAGACCTTCAAGCGAGCCATCGCGGTCCCAGACCGCAGTGACGAGTAGAGCTCAGGAGATCGACTTATCGCTGGACGAACCAGAACAGGGAACCGCTTCGTCACTGCCTGACAGAACCCAGCAGAACGCACCGACTGCATCTCAACAAACTCCTCATTCAGCACCAACAAGTGATCGAAGATCTACTACCAACGCCCCTGCTCTGGTGTCTTTTATACCCTCTACTGGAACAAGCAGGTGGACTTCACATGACGCCGAGACAATAGCAAAACTAGCCGAGAAAGATCCGATGGCCGCTCAGCGTTTGATGAAGACAGCAGCAATCCCCACGACGTCGTTTCTATCGCCCAATGAGGCGCCTGCAGATACAGAGATGGAGGACTCAATGTCGTTCCTGTCTCCTAGTGCAGCGACCGATACCTCGACAGAGCGGGAGACGCCGGCCGCCTCTCATGGAATGTCGTTCCTGTCACCGAATGACTTTAACGTGGAGTCCAGCACGCCTTCGCGTCCAGAGAACTCGAGCGAAAGTGCTATGAACAAGCCCAAGTCGAATGTTAGTCTCGTGAGTGTGGAGGTGTCTCGCAAGCGGTTATACCTGACGTTAGGTGTGCAGGGCACGTTAATCGCCGTCACTTCGTTCGTATCAGACGAGTTTGGCCGACCGGGTGAAGTGGAGCAGAGCGGCAAAGTGTTTCTCGGCGACGTGTTAGTGCGTATCAACCACATGTTCATCCTCCCGGGCATGACTCCTAATCATGTGGCAGATATTGTCAACACTTCTCCCCGACCCATGACACTTTGGTTCGAACGCGCATCTTGGGAGATTCTAGACGGCAAAGCATAACATCAGTCGTGTATTTAGAACAAGCGGGGCGGTGTATTGAGACGATGGCAACCGTAACTAGCAGGCTAGACGTATATGAATGCAACTCCAGTTGCTCGTTTCATTGTTGCGCTCGGGGCGCTACTACTTGGCCAGACCTGGGTCCTTAGAAGACGTTGTCGTACTTCTCCATGGCGCCAGACACCGCATCGACGACTCGGACTTCGTTCATGACGTAGACCGATCGGAACGCGCCAGACTCGTCGAAGCGCTGGATCGTGCGTAGACGACGCGAGCTGTCGATGCCTGTGATCGTCTCCACCATCAACGGACGACCGGAACGCTTGGATGTGGCCGTGATGATGATGACGTTCGTGCCGAGCTCCTGCATGGTGATGTCGGAGCCCCGCAGCGACGGATCATCCGTCTCGATCTTGAGGATGCCGTCTGACACGGGCTTTATCCACATGTGCTGCATGGACGTCAAGCCGCTCATGGTCGTCCTCGACTGACGCTGACTCCACACGCCTTCGTCGTCGCGGAAGATCAGGTCGTTCGAGCACACCTGACTACCTTCGTCCTGTGGCGGGATGGTGGTGAGTTCTCCGTTCCAACGACCTTCCATGCTCGGCAGCACGTGGTAACTGCAGCCGTTGACGCGCACTGAGAGCTGGTTGAAGAAAGCTCGGCCTGAGCCCGCCTTCTTGGTGGCGAAGTGGGGCGGTAGACTACCGTTCATTGAGCGCGAGATGATGCTTTTCTCCATGCCAAGGCGGTGCACTGTACCGTCGGATCCAGCGGCCCAAATGTTGTCTACAGCAGCACTAGAGTTAGTGCTTATTCTACCAATTTCTACCTTTTAATAATGTAGGATCCTTCCTACCTTCTTTGAGCATCTGCATGTTGTTGTCCTCGTGTTTTCTGCGGTTCTTGATACTCTCGGCCAGGAGCTTGTAGTTGAGCGGGTGGAAGGGCTGGTGGGCCGCCTCAATGTGCACGAGCACGTCTCCGTCCGTGATGCCCAGTTCGGCCAGCGTCTTCTCGTCAGGCAACTCCTTGCCCTTGTGTAGCAGTAGGATGAAGTTGGCGTTCTCTCCGCTCTCCTGGTAGGCTGCCTTGACGCCCGCCACACTCTCGTGAGGGGTCGTCTCGAGCGAGAACGCCTTGGTCTCGCTCTTAACTGTCACCTTGATCTTCTCGGCCGTGGATGAGGACGTAGCTGAAGAAGCCATCGTGATGCTAGTGGGCTAGCAGAGATTGAGGTAGACTTGCGTTTGGCTCGCAAAATCCTTTTGTGGGGCGACATAAAGTGGAAGCGAACGTCATAAAGCACTTTTCCTGAAAAAAAGTTCTTGCCGTTGGATGGCATTCAGACGTAAAAAACCCATTAAAAATTTAATGGCTTTTTTTCGTCTGAATGGCATCCCAGCCAATCAGATCTCTCGAAAATATTTTTCCGTTCCCATTTAAGTTGTGGGCCAAAAACAATGCGCACTTTTTCTAAATACAAAGTCTTTTTTTTTTTCGAGAGTGTTTTAGAAAGTGAGACAGACTCTTTTTTCGAGAGTGTTCTAGAAGTGAGACAGGCTTGCTCGACGATTCAGACTTTGATTTGGAAATTTCTAGATTCAAACTGGACTATTTCAAATTTAAGATTTGAAAGGCAAATTGGATCCCAAATTGCCATTGCATTCAGCCCGAAAAAACCTTTATTTTTTATGGTTTTTTTCGGTGGATAGTATTCAGAAGTGCATTATCGTAGTCTTCTCTACGATAATACATACCTTCAGATACCGGTTTACTTGGTTGATACCGGTACTCACAAATTAGAGCCCAAAAGCAGCTTTATTAACATACCGGCAATACACATCGGGATAGAAGGGTGCAGGCTTCATGGAAATCTGCACATGTGCGCGTGTGACCCATATAGCTACCAGGCTGCTACATATACTTGCAAGTCTGCAAGTTGCAAGATCAGACATGACCGCTCCGTAGAGCGGACACTTCCATTCGAGAGGCTAAAAACTCTTATTTTAGCCAATCAAACCGATTTATTTTCCGTCTCTAGACCTCCACTCTCATCGCCACTTTAGCTTGGAAGGAGCTAAGCCGCTCAAGCGTCCCCGCCCCCATACGTGTCCATAGGCAGCACCATGCTTGTCTTGCGGCAACTTCTCCAGCGCGCCGCCCGCCCCAATGCGCTCGCCTCACATGCGTTGGCCAGGAATGTAGGTCACTTTACAGAAATCGGGGTGTAGATTTCTTCATCAAATGTATACTCATCATGCATACATTGATATGTGCAGCCTCTGATGCCCACCGCCGGCGCCAAGCGTTCGCTGTTCAACATGACGCAACGCGGCAAACTCAAGCAACTTAAGAGTTTAGAGCAGGCCGCCAACGCCAACCCAGAGGATCCGTACGCACAGCTGCGCTTTTTACAGGAGCTTAACCGCAACAACTATCCTGCGCTCGTGGTACGTCGCGTAGAAGAAAACCGCTTTGCTCTGGACGAGGCCGTGCAGAAGGAATACATTAAGGCCCTAGTCAAGACGGGCCGTCTCGATACCGTGGACTTGCCGCAGCTGGCCCGGCCGGCCGAGGCTTCCTACGCTGGGGCCGAAGCGGCCCGTCAATTCGGTGGCCTGGCCGCGGCCGCCCCGACCCTGGGCCGCAGTGGCCAGGGCCTTTCGGCTCACGACCCGATGTACGTGTCCATGGTGGAAGGCAGCTTCAAGAGTAACATGTGGAAAACGCTGAGGACACTCGGTGTTGCCTTCCTCGTCGTGTCGGCACTGGGAGCCATGCTGGACGAGAAGGTCGGCAAGATCGGCTCGGCCTCCAAGGTCATGGGCCCCACAGGCAGCGACAAGCGCTTCAGCGACGTCAAGGGAGCTGCCGAGGCCAAACATGAGCTGGAGGAGATCGTGCAGTTTCTGAGAGACCCGGCCCGCTTCACACGTCTGGGCGGCAACTTGCCCAAGGGTGTACTGCTGACTGGCCCGCCTGGTACGGGTAAGACGCTACTCGCTCGTGCTATCGCTGGTGAGGCTGGCGTCCCGTTCTTCTATTCTTCTGGATCAGAGTTCGAAGAGATGTACGTAGGTGTGGGCGCCCGTCGCGTGCGCGACCTCTTCGAGTCGGCCAAGCGGAAGGCACCGTGCATCATCTTCATCGATGAGATTGACGCTATCGGCGGAACGCGTAAGCTTAAGGAGCAGCAGGCCATGAAGATGACGCTCAACCAGCTCTTGGTAGAGATGGACGGCTTTGACCAGAACAAGGGTATCATCGTGATCGGTGCGACCAACTTCCCGGACGTGCTGGACAATGCGCTGATCCGTCCTGGCCGTTTCGACCGACATGTGACGGTGGACTTGCCTGATGTGGCTGGCCGAAAGGAGATTCTCGAGTTCTACGCTGGTAAGATCCCTCTTGGTGAGGATGTGGACCTGGACGTGTTGGCCCGTGCTACGCCCGGTATGTCTGGTGCGGAGCTGTCGAACCTGGTGAACGAGGCTGCGCTCCGTGCGTCGATGAAGAGTGCTGACTTTGTGGATATGGACGCCTTCGAGTACGCCAAGGACAAGATTCTCATGGGTGCCGAGCGCAAGTCAGCAGTGATCACACCCGAGTCGGCCAAGCTCACGGCTTACCATGAAGGTGGCCATGCTCTGGTCGCTATTAACACGCCTGGGGCACACCCCGTGTATAAGGCTACCATCATGCCACGCGGCCAGGCTTTAGGTATGGTATCACAGCTGCCGGAAGGCGACCAGACGTCCATTTCACGCAAGCAAATGCTGGCTCGATTGGATGTGTGCATGGGCGGCCGTGTGGCCGAGGAGTTGACGTTCGGCGAGGACGAGATCACCGGCGGCGCGTCCTCGGACATCCAACAGGCCACTAACGTGGCCCGCACAATGGTGACCAAGTACGGTATGAGTGAGGACGTGGGTTTGGTGTTCCACGACCTACGTGGCAACGACACTAGTGCCACCACTCGCAAGGTCATCGACGACGAAGTGAAGAAGCTGTGTGACGCCTCGTACAAACGTGCGAAGGACATCCTTGTGAACAAGAACGCCGACCTGGAGAAACTGGCCCAGGCGCTGCTAGAGTACGAGACGCTGTCAGGTGCTGAGATTGACAAGATCCTCAAGGGCCAGCCCCTCGACCGCAAGCCTATGAAATAAGTAACCATTACAGGGCGACACCCAAGCGCAGCTGTGTGGAGGGGGGAGATACAGACAGAGGTAGGGCGTATGGGAACTTGATTCCCACTCGCATGCATCGAGTCATGTGCCTCTTGTTTGGTAACTGCATCAACACAGAAAATGAAGGTGTCGATTGCTGTTTACGTTGTGCGTGTACTGTGTTGTTTTGGTGTAGTCCCAGGACCAAAACAAGATGTTGTAGTACCATTTATAGCGAAGCTTCGGTCAAGTTTGAGGTGGTGATTGCCACCGGGTCGAAATGGACGTGAACTCGACGCGTCTGACGTGGCGTACGACGCCCGACTTGTGTCTGAACGATGAGTCATTGGTCGACATTATCACTGGACTGCGAGCACAAGTCCAAGCGCTGGAGAAGAACGAGTTGCTAAATGGTGCTGCATTACCGGCCTGGCTTATCAAAGCTCTGTCTGACGTGGCCAGCAATGTGGACGCTGTGGTGGAGTGTCAAGCGCTGAAAGATCAGGTGGCGTCGCTGCAGAAAGAAATTTTGGATCTGCGTCACGAAATGCTACTCAATGTCTCGAGCTCCGGGTCTGGAGCTTCAGCGGCGTATAATCCTACACCGCACCACCGTCAGTCAACTGGCCGGCCACGAGCACAGCAAGCAAGCCCCACTCGGCAACTCATGCGGATGCCGTCGTCCAAGGACATGTCCGAAACTATCGCGGCCACCGGAGAGACCGCTGGCTTGTTACAACAAGCCACAGGCTCTAGTGGAGTCTCGGCTCAGTTCGTCGAGGCTATGATCAAGCCTCTTTGGGATTTCGTACACCGACAGACCAACGATTTCTCAGCATTGAAGCAAGCGTTCCAGGAGGCCAAAGACACGGTGGCCCGGCTGCAATCCGAGATCAAGCGCCGCGATGCTGTCATTAAAGCACGCAACGAAAAACACGAAGGTGTGGTGCAGTCTCAGATGGATAAACTCAACGAGAGCCTACGTTCTTGTGTCACTCGGAACGACCTCATCAACGCCGAGCAGCGGATCGGCCAGCAGATGAAGATCGACCGTCAACGAATGCTCGACGAGGTGGACGCGAGGTCTAACAAGATCCTCGAAGACATGCTGACTGCGCGGTCAGACCAGGAGGATATCAACAGTTCGAACGCAGAGATGATGGAGCTGTTGACCAGGAAGCAAGCCCGGACCGAAGAAGTGATCGTGGAGTGGGGGATGAAGCAGAACAGCCTCGAACTACGACTGGAAGGCGTCAAGACGTCGCTCATGGAGACGACGACCAACTTGGAAGTCAACACGGCTGCCGTAAGCGCATTGGAGGAGAAGGCCACGGGCTTCGAGGAGACGCAGAAGATCGTGGAGTATCTCTCCGGTGAAGTGACCAAGGCTTTCAAGGCCCATGAAGAGCTGAAAATCTACATGGAGAACCGTCTGGTCGAGAAAATCTCGGAGAGTGTGGCCGCTGTACGTGGCGAAATGGCCACACTTCAGACGGTCGTGAATGAGCTGGTAAACCTGGACTTGGAAAACGAGATCAAGGCTGTATCTGCGAAGGTCGATGCGATCTCTCTCACTGCAACGGACAGTGTACGGAAGATCGCAGCGATGCAGAAGCAGACCATTGCAACCGATGACCACAACAAGATGCAGTTCACTCAAGCTTTCGACTCGATCGACCGTATCCAACAGAGTCTAAGTACTCTGTCTGAAGAGAGCATTCACTTGTCACACACGTTGCAGCGCACTATCGAGAGCGCGGAGAAGCTGACAAACGACGTGAATGCTTACAAGGAAATGACGGACAACTCAATCAATAGTTTGCAGTCGTCGAGTGTAATTCAGCGATCGGATCACGAAAAACTCCATCAGTCTATGGACAACGAGCTGGCCATGGTCAAGAACCAGCTCTTCCACTTCGAAGAAGTGACATCCGCACACAAGCGCGAGATCGAGGATACCCAACGCGACGTGGATAGGAATTTCAGGAACCAGTACCACGAGAACCAAGCAATTAAAGGCTCTCTGGATAGTTTACACACGGCCAAGGACGAGATCATGGCTCGACAGGACGCCGCGGAGTCCCAGATGATGGCCCTGCAAGCGGAAAACCGGGCCGAGATTCAGACCGCGACGGCCAAACTCGTGACTATCGTGGACAAGGAGTCCGACCGCGTGGAGGCTCTATACGCTTCGTTCCAGCAGAAACAAGAGTACTTCGCAGACGTCGTGGCCCGCTCCTCTATACGCAACATGGACCTAGCCGACATGAACCGCGAGATCGACCGCGTGTGCGAGAACTTTGTGTCTGAATGCTGGAAGTTCGAGACGTCAGCCAGGTCGAGTAGCAAGCACAAACCCGACAATAATGGTACCAACAGGAAGCAGTTTAACGAGCGACAGCAGCAGCTGTTGGTGCGTGACTGCCAGTTTATCGCCGACTTGATGGTGGCCAGGGCCGAGTACGAGATCCTTCAAATTGGCTGCAACAAGGACGTCAGGAGTCAACAGACAATGGACGAAGATATGCTGGAGCAACAAATCAGTATTATGGAGAAGATCCGCCTTAAGATCCACACTAAGATCATGAACAACAAGAACATCGGCGAACAGTTCGACAAGAGCGCACTGGATCGACGTGAGCTATATATTGACACTATCAACAACATGATGGCGGCCAGTATGAAGCGCAGAACTCTAATGGGCGGAGGTGGAGACGTAAGCAACAAACACAAACGCAACAGTGTCCACGACGACACCGTGTCTTCTTCAGGAGGAGGCGAGTTCCTGGAAACCACAAGGCTCGTTGGTCTTTTATCCGCTAGTAAGAGTGTGGTCCGACGGAAATCAACAAGAGACTCGTTGTCCGTGACGGCACCAGGTCTTCCAGAGGAGGCCCCGACATCTCGCTCTGCGTTTACACCCAACTCAAGTTACGTTCTACGTGCAGGATTCCGTCTGCCTAAGGCGTCAACGCCCAGCACACCGGCCACCCCGTTCCGCAAAGACACGTTGTCGGCTCCGTTGAGTTCTCGATCAGCTTTCGACCTCATTAACGAAGCAACCGAAGGATCTTCTCCATCGGAGACCAGTCGAATCAAGTCGCCTGAAACAGGCGAGAACCTACAGGGCTGGGCTACAGACGACGACGGAACTATGACGAAATCCTACTCGCTGCCAGTGCTTAAGCAACAATAGAAACGGAAGATTACCTACAACTAGTCCGTTTTTCTTCTTGTTTTTAGGTTCGCAGCGCTGAAAACGAGCGTCCATTCGGCCCAGTCGAGATCAAGGGAATTCTTGAGTATGGTCGACAACGTTAGAGCGGTACGTGTCCAACGTGACATATTCTGAAGAATTTGACAGTATTTTCATGATATTTTATTATTCTAGAATGGGAATGGCGTTCGTCTGGCCCCGTCAACGAGTCCGTCGAAAGAGGCGGCGAGAGTACCGATCGGGATCGTCAACTTTGAACCGACCGTAGCCCCTGTTGGTTCTCCGAATTCGCCGACGAGAAGACCTGTCATTAAGAACTCTTCTCACATCAGTTCTCCAGCGTCTTACGTTCAACTTCCGACTGGTTTTTCAGTCGGAGGAGGCCACGTGCTAGCGACGGTAGATCCAGCTGAACGAGAGGATGGAGAAGTAGAACCCAAGGTGTTTGTCCCTTATGAACGGGTACCAGATCTCCCTCCTCGCAAGGTCGAAGTGGAGCGGAAGAAGCGGCTTTATGAATCCGTAGACGTCGGTGCGCTACTTAAGCAACGTATGGACGACTTCTACAGCTCATCTGTGTACCAGAAACTCGAAATGGACACCAGCGGAACTGCGAAAATGGTTCTGGACAGCCTGGAGCTTTACCTATTCGACGACGAGAGCTACGAGATCCACGAGTCTCAAGAATGGATCAATTTAGGCCGCAAATGCAACGGAAGTGTGCGGATTCCTGTCACCGCAGCATCTTACAATGTTCGCGGCGTTGTTACCGCTTGGCTCGAGGCGTACGTGGTGGGGTATAACTCGGAAAAGAGACTTTTCTCGGTGGAATTCCAACGTAATGACAAGACAGAGGTTAAAGACTGCAGACGACTGGACGTCTGCTTCAAGGCTGAAGACCCCAACAACTTTGCAGACCGATATGTAGCAGCTCAACTGGCACGAGTTCAAGCCCAAAATTTGTTAAGGAAGAACTTCTACATCGACTGTATGCCACTGGAAGAACTGCACAAGTTAGGCAACGCGAGTTTAGGAAAGATAACACGTCTGGCCACCGCTGTGTTCCACGGGAAGAGTCTTCGGATTCCGGATACGACACGTATCGTGCACGAAATCCAGCTTAATTACTTGCGCACGATGTGCAGGATCGTGTTCGAATCGCATCAAGAAATGGGAAGAAATGCAGATATTTTTCGAGGTTTTCTTACCAAAGAAGAAGAAGTTCCAGCGGAGCCCTGTTCGAGAGTAATCGTCCTGTACACTACCAAATCTAAGAGAACGATCGCACCTCCTGTCGACTATGCAGATCAATTCATTGGCTTCTCCTTCCAGACGTTCCTGACGTCACCCGAGGCCTTATCAGCTCTCATTAAGGTAAACGAAGAGTGCTATCGTATCTTACAACTAGAGCTTTTCAGTGTGAAACCAGGACGAAGTGTTAAACTCGAAGAATTCCAGCAGCGACAGCAAGCACTTGAACGCGCAGTACTCAAGACAATTACCGAAGAATGGTCAGTTAAAGTCGCGTCGATCATCAAGACTTCGCTTGGAAGCGTAGGCAAAGGCTGGTACTACTTACAGGAGACCAGACAAGACACATACGATTTCAGTAAGCTGCGTTCGCTGCTACGGCGCGTCAACTTTTCCATGAAGGACACGCTTCGCTTCCTCACCGATCACTCGCTGCATCAGTTCCACGACTTTATCAAGAACGCTACACTTGGAGACGTACATATCGTGGATGCCAAGACCGCGTTCGTGGCTTATCCAGACTTGAATCGCCACAAGCTCGGCGACATCAAGTGGCAGCACATGTGTTTAGAGCGACAGCTATTGGCTCCGACGTCGTTGTTTACTGTGAACCTTAGTGTTTCAACGGAGCTGTACGTGATCAACCAAAGCGAAGTGGACGCAGCAGCTCAAGTCCACGCTAGTTGGCGTCCGAAGGACCCAGAAGATGCCTCCGAGGAGAACCCACACCACCTCATCGAACCCAAAATGGGTCATATCTTCTCGTTCAGCACCAGCATCACAATGTTCAAGACTGCGGTACTCGATATCTTCATGAAGATGCTGGACAACTTGAAGAACATCAAACAAGTGGAGCAAATGGTCATGAGTAAGCTCTTCTGGAGTAGCATGCCGTGTCTCTCGTGTGTCAGTGCAAACGAAGACTGGGTCATAGCATTACGTGAGAGTATAGACGCTCTGATGGACAAAGCAGCCGTCCCGTTACGAGCCTATCTCCAGCGTTATGAGATGTATATCTCCTTCATTAACGTCAAAGAAGAAGAGTATCTGGCTGAATTTCTAGTTCAACAACCGCCTAATCTCTCCATGATTCAAGAGGCTATCAAGAAACACTACAACGAAGCGAATACAGTGGAGGATGTCATTCCAACAACCAATGTCGAGCTGGGGATGTACTCTATCAACTGCTTGAGTATCCGTACGCTGTTAGCCGAGAAACATCGACGTCTAGCGAAGAAATTACTAGATTTACAGCTGAAAAACTCTACCGGTTTAGCCAAAGAGTTATTGGAGAAGTTTGAGATGGTTAACCGACAACTACAGAAGACGCCGCAGAATATTGAAGAACTTACCGAGATGAACGCCTACTTGGAAGGAGTCCCCTCTCAGATCGCTCCTTTGTTGACTCAAAGCCAACAGCTTGTTAAGTACCGCCTTGTACTGGACTACTTCCAGTATCCGTACGACCGCGACGACTTCATGACGATCTGGAAAGTGCGTTTGTGTCCGAACAAGATCAATGAGCAGGTGAAGCGCATGACGCACATGTTGCAGATGCAGAAGACCCAGTTCTCGACCGAAATGAACGATCAACAAGCGGAATTCGCTGAAACGTTGAGGATCTTACACGGTGAAGTCGACGGCTTCCGACAGTACACAGACATCGCTCGCTTGGATCAAGTATACAAGTACGTAGTGAACATCGAGCAAAAGATCGCAAAGGCTGACGAAGACGCCAAGCTCTTCAACTCGCGCGAAGTTTTGTTCGGTCAGGAGCTCACTGACTACGACGAGATCCAGAAGATCCGTCGCGACTTTGAGCCGTATTCGTTGCTCTGGAAGACCGCGAATAACTGGCTAAGAGAGCACAAGAAGTGGATGGAAGGAGCATTCCTAGACATCAATGGGGAAGAGATCGAGACGTTCGTGGAAGCCAATTGGGCGTCGATCCAGAAGGCACTCAAGCAGTTCGAGAAGCTCAATGTTAAAGGGTGTTCCAGTATCGCAGCGATGATCAAGGACAGCATCGCAGAGTTCCGACCTCACGTTCCCCTTATCTTGTCCATGCGTAACCCGGGTATGCAGGACCGACACTGGAGTCAAATTAACCAAGAGATTGGCATGACATTCCGTCCTGATCGAAGCATGAAGTTGAGTTACGTTCTTGAATTGGGTCTTGAGAAACACATCGACGCTATCTCTCGTATCGGTGAGACGGCAGGCAAGGAACACCAGATCGAGAGGACTCTCAGCTCCATGGAAGAACAATGGTCTGGTGTCAACTTAACTATCGTCGACTATCGCGAGACAGAAACGTTTGTAGTGAAAAGTGTGGACGAGATCCAAGCGCTGCTAGATGAACAGATCACAACGACTCAAGCGATGCAGTTCTCTGCGTTCAAGAAACCGTTTGAAGAGCGAATCAACCGGTGGGAACGTACACTCAGCACCGTGTCTGACGTACTAGACGAGTGGATCCAAGTGCAGCGTAGTTGGCTCTATCTTCAACCGATCTTCGACTCTCCGGATATCAACAAGCAGCTCCCAACTGAAGGTAAACGCTTTGCTACGGTGGACAAGAATTGGCGTCAGACTTTGGCTGCAGCCAAGCAGAAACCCAGTGCCATCACGTTCTGTAACAACGATAAGTTGTTAGACCGTTTCCAAGAGAGTAACCGGTTCTTGGAGCAAGTTCAAAAGGGATTAAGCGACTTCCTCGAGACGAAAAGGTCGGCTTTCAGTCGCTTTTACTTCCTCTCGAACGAGGAACTGCTCTCTATTCTTTCGGAGAGTAAAGACGTTAAGTTAGTGCAGCCTCACTTGAAGAAATGCTTCGAAGGCATCGTGTCGGTGGAGTTCCAGGAAGACCTCACGATCACCGCCATGATCTCCGCTGAAGGAGAGAAAGTGGCCATGACCAAGCCTGTGAATCCTGTGAACAAGAACGTGGAGAATTGGATGACCGAAGTGGAAGACATGATGCGTGTCTCCATCCGCGACGTCATGTACCAGGCCATTCAGGACTACACGAAGATCTCACGCACTAAATGGATCCAGAAATGGCCCGGTATGTGCGTGTTGAACGGCAGTCAATTCCACTGGACGCGAGAGATGGAGGAGGAGATGGCAGCGTCTGGAAGTGACGGAGTCAAGCGCATGATGGAGCGACAGTTAGCTCAACTGGCAGATATGGTGCAAATGGTACGAGGTCATCTCGATAAACTAGCACGTGTGAGTGTGGGGGCCTTGGCTGTCATTGACGTGCACGCTCGAGATGTTACGATGCGGTTAGTTAACAACAAAGTGAGCTCGAAAGACGACTTCATGTGGTCCAGCCAGCTCCGATACTACTGGGAAGACGATCTCTTCGCTGATATGGTATCAGCTCGCCGTCCGTACGGCTACGAGTACTTAGGGAACTCCTTCCGTTTGGTGATCACTCCTCTAACCGATAAATGTTACATGACGCTCATGGCAGCTCTACAGATGACACTGGGTGGAGCTCCAGCTGGACCTGCAGGTACAGGGAAGACAGAGACGACCAAAGATCTGGCCAAGGCTTTAGCTAAGCAATGCGTGGTGTTTAACTGCTCTGACGGTCTTGATTACATCGCTATGGGCAAATTCTTTAAAGGATTGGCTGCTTGCGGTGCCTGGGCGTGCTTTGACGAGTTCAATCGCATTAATATCGAGGTTTTGTCTGTGATCGGCCAGCAAGTTACGACGCTTCAACTCGCTATTCGAGCTGGAGACAAGCGGATTATGTTCGAAGGCTCGGATATCGCAGTGAACCCGCAGTTTGGAGTGTTTATTACCATGAATCCTGGGTATGCTGGTCGCTCGGACTTGCCCGATTCCCTTGCTGCGTTGTTCAGACCTGTGGCTATGATGGTGCCGGACTATGCTATGATCGGAGAAATCATGTTCTTCGCTTATGGTTATGAGAAGGCCAAACAGTGTGGAGCAAAGATGGTCACGACGTTCAAATTGTGCTCCGAAATGCTGTCGTCTCAGTCTCACTATGACTACGGTATGCGAGCCGTCAAGACTGTGATCACTGCAGCTGGTAACTACAAGCGATCGGACCCAGATATGGACGAAGAAGTGCTGTTACTGCGTGCACTACAGGACGTTAATTTACCCAAGTTCCTCGCACATGATATCCCGCTTTTTGGTGGTATTATCAGCGATTTATTCCCGGGTAAAAGCCGCCCACAACTCAATCTTGGTGCATTGATTCGCGTGATTAAACTCACGATAGAGAAGCAGCATCTGCAGGTTCATCCGTTCTTCCTTATGAAGGTTATTCAGTTATACGAGACGCTCTGTGTACGCCACGGTTTGATGGTTGTGGGCTCTACAGGTGGAGGAAAATCCGCCAATCTTAACGTCCTCGCTGATGCACTTACAGAGTTAAAACAACTCGGAGAGATTGGCCATGCGTACGAGAAGGTTATAAGGTACCAGTTAAACCCGAAGTCCATCACAATGGGTCAGCTTTACGGCGAGTTTGATGCCAATACTCACGAGTGGCAGGACGGAGTACTATCGACGTTGTACCGTGAAGCTGCTAGTGACACCAAATCTGACCGTAAATGGGTTATCTTCGATGGCCCTGTGGACGCTATCTGGATTGAGAACATGAATACGGTGTTAGATGATAACAAAAAGCTCTGTTTGGCTAGTGGAGAGATCATCCAGATGTCCAACGAGATGACTATGATGTTCGAAGTGGAGGATTTATCTGTAGCTTCTCCAGCTACGGTGAGTCGTACAGGTATGGTGTACATGGAGCCTAGTTCTTTAGGTTTCGATCCGCTTGTGATGAGTTGGTTAGAGAAGGTTGTGCGTGATATCGGGCTTGGTAGTGTTCCCTCTGTTACCCAGTTGTGCTTGCAGCTTCATCTCTTACTGGACGTTTACTTACGTCCAGCTCTACAGTTCGTGACGAGTTTCGTGAAGGAGTGGCTTCCTCAGATCCCGTCAAACTTGGTCCAAAGTTTGTTGCGATTGCTCGACTGTTTCTTCTTTCCAATGCAGGGAGACGAGAAGAAAGAAGCCAAATTGGAACGTGTGGGGTTTTACTTGAAGAACGTCGAAAGCTTCTTCCTCTTCTCACTCATCTGGTCCGTTGGAGCCACTGGTAACGACGCAGGTCGTGATCGTTTCGACGCTTATCTCCGTGACGAAATGATTGGTAACAACGCGAAAAAGCCATTCCCATCAGCAGAACAAGTGTACGATTACTCGTTCGATCTTACGAAGGAGAGCTGGGTCCCGTGGCTACAGACTATCCCTACATTTACAATCGATTCCTCGACCTCCTTCTCCGAACTAGTAGTACCTACTGCCGACTCTGTACGCTCAACATTCTTGATGAACCTGACGCTCCCGTTGGGTGTTCACATGCTTATTGTAGGGCCTACGGGTACAGGCAAAACTATCAATGTGAACCATTTCTTGGAGAAGTCGAATCCGGACAAATACATCCCGTTGAGTATGGCGTTCTCAGCTCAAAGTAGTGCGAACCAAACGCAGGATTTTATCGATTCCAAGATGGAGAAGCGACGCAAAGGCGTGTTCGGACCGACGGCAGGCAAGAAGTTTATCATCTACGTGGACGATCTCAATATGCCCAAGCAGGAGGAGTACTTTGCTCAACCACCTATTGAAATCCTACGTCAATGGTTCGATCAAGGAGGTTGGTACGACCGTAAACTACTCACGTTCCGAACCATCATCGACGTCGTGTTTGTGTGCTCCATGGGGCCTCCTGGAGGCGGCCGCAACCCGATCACTCAGCGGTTTGTACGCCACTTTAACATTATGGGATATACTGAGATGTCCAACGAGAGTAAAGCCATCGTTTTTGAGACTATCGTAGGGAATTTCTTCAGTCGCTTCTCAGAGGAGATCCGGCCACCTATGATCGCTAAGAAGCTCGTTCAAGCTTCCATTGTCATCTACAATACCGTCATCGCTGAGCTACTCCCCACTCCAGCCAAGGCGCACTATACGTTCAATCTTCGAGATCTGGCCAAGGTTTTCCAAGGAGTATTGATGGGAGACTCGAAGCGGATCACAAAGCTGGAACAAATGCTGCGACTCTGGGTTCACGAGAACATGCGGGTGTTTAAAGATCGCTTCACGACTCCCAGTGATCATCAGTGGTTTATCGAGTTACTTCAGACTCAAGTGAGTACAGTTTTTGGTGAATCATTGGGGATATCTGGAACATCTACAGGTTCTAAGAAAGCGGCTTGGGATCTAGTACATCCAACGCCGACATTGTTCTATGGAGACTACATGGTACCAGGAGCCGATCCGAAAGTGTACGAGGAGATCTCAGACGTGGAGAAGCTACAGGCTCAAGTCGAAGAGTATTTGAACGACTATAATGCCGAGAGTAGCGCTCCGATGAACCTTGTGCTCTTCATGAACGCTATCGAGCATGTTTCACGCATTGCTCGAGTCATTCGACAACCACAGGGCAACGCGTTGCTGCTTGGTGTAGGTGGTAGCGGCCGTCAGTCTCTCACTAGACTGGCAGCGTATATGGCTGAGTATTCGTGCACTCAGATCGAGATCTCTAAGGGCTACGGCGTCGCTGAATGGCGCGATGATCTTAAGAAATGCCTCATGAAAGCTGGCATCGACGAGAAGCCTCTGGTCTTCCTTTTCTCGGACGTACAGATCGTGCATGAAGCCATGCTGGAAGACATCAACAACGTGCTGAATTCTGGTGACGTTCCAAATCTGTACGCACCCGAAGATCTGGACCAAATCAGCCAACACTGTCGAGCTTACTGCGTCAAGAAGAGGATCCCTCCGACGAAACTCAACACGTTCGCTCAGTACATTTTACTGGTACGACAGAACCTGCACCTCGTGTTGTGTATGAGTCCATTGGGCAGTCTCTTTCGCGATCGTATCCGCATGTTCCCGTCGTTAGTAAATTGCTGTACGATCGATTGGTTCAGTGAATGGCCAGCCGAAGCTCTACAGTCCGTGGCGGCCAGTTCCTTATCTTCAGGCGATTTTCAGCTGTCAGGCGAGCCATCGACGTCTACAGAGGAGGAGTCAACCGAAGCGAAGGCAGCAAAGACAGCAGCATCGAAAGCCGTCGTCAGTCTCTTCCAGACGATTCACCAGAGTGTGGAGCGGGAATCGGTCGAATTTTTCGAGAAACTTCGGAGATACAACTACGTGACTCCTACGAGTTATCTGGAGCTACTTCATACGTTTAAAACGGTGTTGTTATTGAAGCGTGAGGAGGTTCAATCGAAGCGTTCTCGACTGCAGAATGGCGTGGACAAGATCATCGCTACAAAGGAGCAAGTTGCAGGGATGCAAGAGCAGTTAGTCGCTCTAAAGCCACAGTTAGAGAAGACGCAGATCGAAGTGGAAGAGATGATGAAGCAGATCACGTTAGACAAGAAAGACGCCGACGAGACCAAGGCGATCGTGGAGAAAGAAGAGCAGATCGCCAACAAGAAAGCAGCAGAGACCAAGGAGATCGCCGACGACGCTCAGCGAGACTTGGACGAAGCGCTGCCAGCGCTTGAAGCGGCTGTGCAGTGTCTGAACAAGCTGAAAAAGTCCGATATTGACGAGGTGAAGGCGTTGAAGAACCCGCCACACGGTGTCAAGCTCACGATGGAGGCTGCGTGTATTATCTTCGGTATTAAACCCACGATGAAAGCGGATCCGGACAAGGCTGGGCAGAAGGTGAAAGACTACTGGGAGAGCGCACAGAAGACCATCTTGGGTAACGCCAAGAAGTTGATGGAGGACATGCTCAAGTTCGACAAGGATAATATAGGAGACAAGATCATTCAAGAGCTGGACCGATATATCGATATGGAGGAGTTCTCTCCTGCTGCAGTCAGGAAGGCCAGTGTGGCTTGTGAAGCGATCTGTATGTGGGTACGAGCCATGCACACGTATCACAATGTGGCCAAGATGGTGGAGCCCAAGAAGGTCGTTCTAGCAGCCGCACAAGCAGAACTAGACGTCACAATGAGAGTCCTAGCAGATGCTAAGGCACGTCTCCAAGCTGTCGTTGAACGGCTTGCTGAACTTGAAAGAAACTACAACAACGCTGTGGACAAGAAGGACCAGCTAGTGCGTGATGTTCGACAGTGCGAGATCCGTCTCGAGTCTGCGTTGAAGCTCATCGGTCTGCTTGGAGGAGAGGAGACTCGATGGGCTGCTACGATCCGTCAACTCAACTTCGACTACACTAATCTAGTGGGCGACGTCATCATCTCTGCAGCGACTATCAGCTACTTAGGAACGTTCACAAGCGAATTCCGAGAGTCTTGTGTGTCGACGTGGTATAAGGCGTTAGAAGAGCTCAAGCTTCCACACACGAAAGGCTGCAACATCATCACGACGCTAGCAGATCCAGTGAAAGTTCGAGGCTGGCAGATCTCTGGTTTACCCTCGGATAATCTATCCGTACAGAACGGACTTATCATGGCCCGTGCAAGGCGATGGTCGCTGCTGATTGATCCTCAAGGTCAGGCTAATAGATTTATCAAGAATCTAGGCAAGGATTCGTCCGAGAACGGTCTAGACGTGACTAAACTGACTGATAAGGGTTTTTTGAAGACGTTAGAGAACGGCATTCGCTTCGGCAAGTGGATTCTACTGGAGAATGTAGGCGAGAGTCTAGACGCCACGTTGGAGCCTGTTCTACTTCAGAACAAGTTCCGTCAAGGTGGTCAAGTAGTCATGAAGCTGGGAGACTCTACCGTGCCCTACAACCCCGCCTTCCGCTTCTATATGACCACGAAGCTGCCCAACCCACACTACCCACCAGAGACGTCGGTAAAAGTAACCTTACTCAACTTTACCATCACTCCAAAGGGTCTAGAAGATCAAGCTTTGGGTGTTGTAGTCCAAGAAGAGATGCCTGAACTGGCAGAGAAGAAGAACTCGCTGGTCGTAGCTAATGCACGTATGAAGGCCGAGCTGGTAGAGATTGAGAACAAGATTCTGTACATGTTGGCCAATTCTAAAGGGAATATCCTGGACGATACCGAACTGATCGATACACTGGGCAAGGCTAAGGTGACATCCGAAGATATTAACGAGAAGATGGCCGAGGCAGAGATCACCGAGAAGGCCATCGATGAGTCTCGTGAACGCTACCGTGGCGTGGCGTTCCGTGCATCGTTGTTGTTCTTCTGTATCGCAGACTTGGCACTTGTAGACCCAATGTACCAGTACTCCCTACCGTGGTTTGTATCGCTCTTCATCAAGAGTATCCACAGCGCTATCGAGAGTGATCAACTGGAAATGAGACTCGCTCACCTCAACGACTCGGCCACGTACTCACTCTACCGCAATATTTGCCGCTCTCTCTTTGAAGAACATAAACTATTGTTCTCATTCCTGCTTACTATCAAGCTGCTAATGGGATCTCGAAAGATTGACACGCTGGAATGGCGGTTTTTGATATCTGGATCCACGTCCAGCTCCATCGAGGCCCCAAATCCAGACACCACCTGGGTAGAAGACCGAGTGTGGCGTGAAGTGTGTGCTCTATCGTCTTTACCGGCATTTGAGACGTTAGCTGCATCAATGGCCACCAATACGTCGCAATGGCGCAAGATCTTCGACTCTGCTGACCCGCAGGTTGAACGACTCCCGTTGGCTTTGGATCTGTCGCTCAATTCGTTCCAGAAGCTCTGCGTTCTCCGCTGTATCCGACCCGATAGGATGACCGAAGCCATGCAGAATTTCGTAGCAGAACACATCGGTCGTCGGTTTATCGAGCCACCACCGTTTGATCTCGCAGGCTCCTTCGCAGACTCGACAGTTATCACTCCCATTATCTTCGTATTGTCCACAGGCTCCGATCCAGCCAAGGAGCTGCTGGTGTTTGCAGAGACAATGAAGATGAACCGGAAACTCAACTCCATCTCATTGGGTCAAGGCCAAGGACCATTAGCCACCAAGATGATCGAGGAAGCCGTGACGAGTGGGAAGTGGGTTTTATTGCAGAACTGCCACTTGGCTATCAGTTGGATGCCTCAGCTTGAACGTATTTGTGATGAATTGAACCCAGACGCAACACACCGAGACTTTCGACTGTGGTTAACCAGCAGACCCAGTACAGCATTCCCGACTTCGGTGCTACAGAACGGAGTCAAGATGACGAAGGAACCACCTAAGGGGATCCGTGCTAACCTGCGAAACTCGTACATTAAGCTCACAAACGACACGCTGGACGCTACTTCTAAACCTGATCAGTTCCGTAAACTCCTATTTGGTCTCAGTTTCTTCCATGCTGTCGTGATTGAGCGCAAACGTTTTGGACCATTGGGTTGGAACATTCCGTACGCCTTTAACGATACGGACTATGACATTAGCCGAGCCCAACTCGAGATGTTCCTGGATTTCTACGATGAAGTTCCCTATAAAGTGCTGTGTGTTATGACGTCTGTAGTTAACTACGGTGGTCGTGTGACGGATGATAAGGATATGCGGACGATCGATGTTATTCTCGAAGGATTCTTTAATCCCCAGATTCTGGAGGACGGATACAAGTTCTCATCTAGTGGGTCTTACTACTCACTCACTGCCGACCCTGATGACCCACTCGCGAGTTACTTGAGCTACATCGACGATCTTCCACTAAACCCAGAGCCCGAAGTCTTTGGGATGCACGACAACGCGAACATCACGTGTGCATTAGCAGAAACATTCCACACGTTTGATATCATCCTAGCGCTTCAACCTCGGGCTGCTGTAGGCGCAGGAGGTCAGTCAAGGGAAAGTCTCATCGAACAGCAAGCCCAATCGATCATGAGTCGATTGCCTCCACTGTTCGAAGTGGAGCACATTAGTCTCCGATATCCTGTCATGTACGAAGAATCGATGAACACGGTGCTGGTTCAAGAGGTACAGCGCTATAACGCACTCCTCCGAGTCCTTCAAGTATCTCTACCAAATCTACAGCGTGCTCTACGTGGCCTCATTGTCATGTCACCCGAATTGGAGGCGATGGCTACATGTTTGTTCAACCAGAAGGTGCCACCTCAATGGGAGAAGAAGGCGTATCCGTCGTTAAAAGCACTTGGCGGCTGGGTCGACGATCTACTGGAACGTCTACAGTTCCTGACCAAGTGGGTAGACAACGGTATTCCTCCGGTCTTTTGGCTGTCCGGCTTCTTCTTCCCGCAAGGTTTCTTGACTGGAATCCTGCAGAATCATGCCCGACAGTTTGGCTTGGCTATCGACTCGTTGTCGTTCGACTTTTTAATGCAAAACCAGATAGCAGACAGCATTAAAACGAAACCGGAGAAAGGTGGATGCTACATGACGGGGCTCTTCCTGGAAGGTGCTCGGTGGGACAGAATCTCACACTCGCTTGTGGATCCACTACCCAAGGAACTATTTGCTCGCATGCCGGTTGTGCACTTACTGCCTACACAAGACCGTCAAGCTCCTCAGAGCGGCATCTACCGTTGTCCGGTGTACAAGATTCTTACAAGAACAGGAACACTTTCGACTACAGGCCACTCTACCAATTTCGTTTTCTGGATTGAGATTCCATCCGACAAGAGAACGATTTTCCGGAACTCTCTCGTATCGGAAACCAATCTCCAGTTGCAGTTCGCAGACCAGGACTATTGGATCAAGGCCGGTGTTGCCTGCTTCCTCTCACTCATGTACTAGATGCATTAAAAAAATATTTTTCGGAAGTTATGTTTTCTTTATTTCGCTAGTTATGCAAGTTTTACGACGCCCAGATGCGCTAGATCCGACCAAGGAATGGTGTGTGGGTACACTAGTTGTGCAGTTTGGTTCACGCCGCCATTTGTCAAGATCGTGTACACATATATGTTCGTAAAGCGCACGCGGGTGAGCTTCATAACCAGCAATGAAAAAATATCCTCCGTCGCCACCAGATATTTGTGGTTTGCAATGAGATACCCATTTCCGTACACTGCATCGATGGAAGCGTAGCGTTTTCTGTTTCGAAAAATGTAGTTATCGTAGCCTGAAATCACACCATAGCGTTTACTCAGGGCTGCACCTGTAGCTGTTTCGAAGGAAGTTAGCTGTCCTTCCTGCTGCGTAGTGCCTTCCGAGTCGGTATTGTACGTCTTCGTCCGATCTTCACTCTTGCGTTGACAGTGTCGAATGATTTTTCTAACGATAATGTAACCCACCAACCCGACCATAGTACTGAAGATACAGATCACCGTAGATATCACAACAGCCTTCCGGTCGACGGTGATCTCGTGAATGGTCCAGAATTTCATAGGCGATAGCTGCGCGAGGAACGGACTGACATTGATGACTCCAAGCCAGTTGTCTTCTTCTGCAAAGTCGACCACAACTTCTCGTAAAGCGGGCAGCGCATCGACAAGCTCAACGCGGTAAGCGAACCCGAACTCGAACGCAGCAAACGCAAGCACCGGGTCGATTCTCTCATGGAAAAAGTAACTCAGAACACTTGTTACGTTTAAGAAAAAAGTAAGCAGATCAGCGTGAGCCAGTTCGGGACGATAGTGAACCAAACGACGACCTGCCAGCTCACTTCCGATAGCAAGACAGAACTCTGTGAGTGTGTAGTATCCGTTAAGATGGTTGGATACAAACACGAGTACACCACGATAAAGAAGAGCATTAGAGATCGTAGCGAACGCGTCACCTACCCAGAAATGTCCTTTGCGTAGTCTCTGGTAGATGACGAAAAATAGTACTCCAAGATCGAATAGCACGTCGATTGCGAAGATGCCGTGAATGCTGTGCGTCCACGCCCATGAATCGTGTAGGGAAGCCAATGCGTGCCATTCCCAGTTCCTCAGTTCAGTTGCAGGATCAGTTGGTAAGTTCCAGTGGATAATTTCAATGTTGGATTGAGCCACAGGGTCGTCAATGTAGCCTCCCATCCGGTATGCTGTACGAACTTCCCTCGCTGGGTCGATACTGTGAGGTCGAGGCAGGCTGTTAAAGAGCCAAAAGTTGTCGCTCTCAACGCCAAGAAACTCAGCGCTCATAAAGTGAGGCTCGGATTCGTATGGATAGTTAAAAGCAATGGCAAATTGATGCGTCACTTCCGTGGCTTGCATGTCTTGGATGGGTGCAAGAACGACAACCAAAGCTGCTCCACTCTGATACTGCTGATCCACTTGGAAGTCCTGAGTGGAAACCAAAGCAGACAGCAGCATCGTCTCCTTTGTATCGTTCTTTTGACGCACCAAATAGTACATTCGAAGTTGTGTCACAGCTTCATCCGTTGCGACGATCAGATCCAGCGAACAATCGATAATCGGGGAGATCAACTCTACGTCAGTGAGATATTCGAGATCTTTTGTAGCGTGTGACTGCAACGACGTGAAGATAAACCGTGAAAAGGTGTTGCCATTAACGGATTCGTCGTATCCAGGAACGTTTCTGCACTCTGTGAACGAGACCTCAGTGTCAGATAAGAGGAAGATCGAGTCGTTCCGCAGATCGGTTGATCCTTTCAGAACTCCTTGAACCAGTGGACTCTCGTTGATCGCCGTATCTCCAGCGTAGTCGACAATGAGCTTCGACTCGTGAATGGTTGTCCCCAAGTCCTTAGACTCGAAACCTCGTAGCACCGTGATCGACGCCAGAAACGCTTTGAATGAGATACCGACATACCAAAGCGCGATGGCGAATACTATAACGCGGTGAAGTAGCCGAATAAACTCAAACTTGCCAGCAGATTCCATCGACTCGATCGTCCCCATCGACTGGAGTGCCTCCACCCGTGCTTCCTTCGTTGACGCCATGGCTACTTCGGAAGTGGCGACAGCTATTATGAGAGCAAAGACTCCAATGGTCGGGTCGTTGCAACTGAAATTGGGTAGAGAGATCCTTCTCCTTCTGGATGTGAGGCCTCTGGTTGGAACAAACTTTAGTTCTCGACTACGATGAACAAGCGACAACCGGAACGTGACAAGGAAGCGGCATCGGAAGCCTCGCGGGTTGGAAGTATGCCACCGCAGTCTCCGTTCATGGCTCGACAGGCCGAGAGAGCCCACATGACGGGGCTCTCTCCTATTGAGGAGATGCGGCTGGCGCAGAATGAACTTCGAGCTAAAGCCGCAGCTCGGTTGCCGCCAATCGCAGAGCCTTCGCGCCGAAAGTCTTTGCACCAACAAATTACACAGACCAGTTTGATGAAACTCGTGACGATGCGGGATATGGTTCGTAAAGTCAAGAATCGAGCCAAAGTGGCGGTGGTGAAACCCGCGGACGGCAAAATGAGCGAGTTCCACGACCAGAGACTGGAGCGAGACATGGACGAACTCACTCCAGCTGAAGCTTTGGACTTTGTCGAGACGGTTTCCAAGAATGAACTCATTATTAACAAGAAGAAGCAGAAATTCGACGAATCGGCTGTGCCCAAGTACATTATTTCACCTCACGGCAAGTTCCGTGTGCGGTGGGATCTCCTCTCGGTCTCACTTATCTTCTGTAGGTGGATTGATGAAATTTTCTAAGTTCGATGGCGTTCTAACTAGTGTCATACCGTTCGTACAGATAATTCACTCAGTATCCCTGTACGTCAATTTTTTTATTCCTCCACATTCATAAAAGAAAATGTCGCCAGCTAACGCGTTGTGAAGTTCCAATTGTCTTTTGGAGCCTCGGTGTCACACTCACTGGTAGCACTGGACTACATCCAGCGAGGCATCGACTTTTTCTTCATCGCAGATATTGTATGTACTCGAATTATTATGTACGCACTCGTTTGTACGCACACCGTTTTGTTCTAACGCCATTGTGCAGCTCATAAACTTCGTCTCAGCTTACGAGGAGCGTGGTCAAATCGAAGTAAGACTCACGGCGATAGCTCGGAAGTACTTCAAGTCGTGGTTCTTACTAGACTTCCTCTCAGCCTTCCCGCTCTACTACATCCAAGGCTCTTACTTCCGTATCCCACAACTTGCACGACTATTCCGCCTGTTCCGTCTCCTGCGCCTAGTTCGCATGCTTACCATTACGCGCATTCTCAATAGACTTGACTATGCACTTCTACTGCGATCCACAGTCAGCAGCATCTTTAAATTCTGCATGCTGGTATGCTTCACCTCACACTGGCTAAGGTAAACAATCCTTTATCATCCAGAGATCATGTGGTATACTGATGCTTGTATTCTTTCTTCCTAGTTGCTTCTTCTTCCTCATAAGTTACGACGAAGATGACGGCTGGGTGGCCTCGATGGGGCTTCAAGACAAGAGTCTGTACGAAAAATACGTCACGTCCTTCTACTGGGCGATCATGACCATGTACGTAAAGCTGCTCTCACACTAGTAACTCTGCATCTTGATCCTTACCCGTTATTTACAGGACGACAGTGGGGTATGGCGACGTGCATCCTACCACTACACACGAGCGAATATTCGCCATCGTCGCGATGATCCTCGGCGCTTGGATTTTTGCTTATGGCATCACAAATGTCGTCGCTATGGTGACGAATCTGAACGGAGCGGACAGTCGATTCCAGCTGCGTATGGACGAGCTGAACGACTACATGGAGGCCCGCGAGCTGCCAATGCAACTACGATACGAGATCCGCGAGTTCTTCTTCAACGCGCGAATATCGGCCGAGTCCAAGCTGGCAAACGAAGGTAAAATCTTGGCAGAATTGTCCGCTTTACTACGTTCCAAGATCGCCTTTGCTATCAACGACAGCGTTCTCAACAAGATGCCGTTCTTTGCTGGAGCCGACCACAATTTCTTGATGGAACTCGCTCTGAGTATGCGTATGGTGTGCTTTCCACCCTTGGAGGAGGTCATTCTTGAAGGAGAAATAGGCGAAGAAATGTTCTTTATCTTCCGAGGTGTGGTGGAGATCGTCAAGTCGGGAGTTCAGCTCGGACTGCTCGGTCAGAAGCAGTACTTCGGTGAGATGGCTATTCTGAACCAGAATTGTCTGCGTACTGCAACTGTGCGTACACTCTGCTTCTGCGAGCTGCGTATGCTCACACGAGAGAAATTTCTCATCGCCCTCACGCACTATCCAGCCATGAAGCAGCGTATTGCTCGTATCGTGGACAAACGCACCAAGACTACACCCAAGAAACTCAGTTCCAAGTCAACAGAGAGTTCGCTCACTGCACTCGAGAAGATGGCAGCATCTGCAGCCATAGACGATAAGACCGCCCAACAGCTCGTGACCCCCACTCCAGAGACTACACTTAACCGCATCTCCCAGCTCAACACGGACTTCTCCGGTTCCTTCCGCAACCAGACAGCGGAGAGTGAACTCGAGAAGATCCAAGCCAAAATCAGCGGCATGATCCAAATGCAAGACCGACTCGGGCGGCTTGTTCAGGATCTTGAAAAACAATTAGGCGACGTTACCGAAGCGCTCTAAAAGTCTAGAAATTACCCCAAACAATGGAAAGCGTGTCCGCTGGCTGGACGTTCATCATCCATTCTCTATAGGGTAGTACCGCTCTACCGTTTTTGTTCTACATTGGCCTACCATTCTACCCTTACATGAGGTTGTCAGCCTCGTCTGGGATCCGCACCGTCATGCCTTCCATGTCCTTCGTCACGTGGATCTGGCAGCCCAACCGCGATCTACAAACAGAAACACAGTATAAGAATGCTGCCACCACTCTACTTTTTTTTATCGATAGAGAGCTCTACGTACGTGTCTGTAAGCCCCCAGGCCAGGTCCAGCATGTCCTCCTCCTCCTCGCTTACCTCCGGTAGATTGTCGAAGATGCGCTTTTCGAACACCAAATGGCAGGTAGAGCAGGCGAGTTCTCCGCCGCACGCGCCTTCCAGCTCCAAATCGTTTTCCTGGGCCACGTCCAGCAACTTCTCGCCTTCCTCGGCGGTCACCGTCGTGTGCTCACCCTCTCCGTCCACGAACGTGAACGTCACTTGCGAGAAGTGGCGACCGAGTGGTGGAATACGTCCACTAGTGCCTAACCTAGCTGCGAGAAGCGGAGGCGATGGCCGGCGAGCAGCCGAGGAGGCAACACGGCGCAGCGCGGGCGCCAGTCTAGTGGTGAACATGAGCGTCGTTGATGGGCTTTTGTCTAAACTCCCAAAATGGGTACCCTAAATTTGCATTTTATAGGGCCAATCAGCCCGAAAAAAACCAAAAAAAATTTTTCGGGCTGAATGGCATCCGTGGCCGTTGGTTGGTCACAATGAATTTATCTTATTGAAATAATTAGACAAAAACACAGCTGGACTGGAGCCTCGAACTATTCTGGAACTTCAAAATATAATAATTAAAAGAATGTTTTAATAAAATAAACGTAGCTTATTTAACTTTTTAAAAAAAGTTATATAAAAAATTGAAGATTTAATTTTTTATTTTAAAAGCTACATTTAAAAAAAAAAACTTAATTGTGATGTTAAACTACGAAAACGCACAAAACCTGTATTCGCTTTCTACGAAGAAATTATTTTTTTTATCTTAGAGCATTTTGATCATTATCACTCTCCCTCTTATCAGCGATTTTTTATCATAATACCCTTGACCATTCTCATATGTTCCCTCTTATTAGTAGTAACCACACCAAGATGGTAGACCGGGTTACCAAACCCTCTAACTGCAGCGGAGCTGCCGTAGCTAAGCGTCAGAGGAAGACGTACGACTCAAAGAGTCCCTAAAACTAAGTTCCTTATCCGAAGGAAACTTACAGCCCAAGAACCAGGGCTCAAAGTTATTAAGAACACAAATAACTTTTATGCTTCAAAACCAGAAGTGTTTTATTTTTTTATTGCAGCCAAGCCGCTATCTATGTTTAACTATCTAGCATAGTTAAACCTAATCAAATGCATATCGTGTGGCCCTCAACCTATGTACT